TCACTACTGTAACATATTTTATTATTAACGCTTCTTTTTTTCATTTTTTTTTTCTTTGAAAGTTCGGTCATTAAGGCAGCAATGACATTTCACTGATTGTAAGATTTACTGACAAAAACAATATTTTCACCAGTTTCTTTTGTGTTCAAAAAAAAGATAAATGACATATGAAGAGTGATAATAGTATGTGTCATTAGGTCACATGGTTGTTACACTAACATCAAAGTTTCAGTCAGTACCTAAATGTCATTTTTGTAAATCTACAGTGCACCCTGTGCTAAAGACAACTATGAGAAACAATGACCTTTATGTACAGTAAAACCTCTTCAGAGCAACACCCTTTATGAGACAAAGATTTTGGCTGTTGCCCAGAGGTGGTTGGTCCAGGGAGATTGAATTAATTGTGAAGTCTTACCATAGGAACTGACAGTGTAAAAGTGGTTGTTGGTGTAGAGAGGGCATTTTTACAGAGGTTACACTGTGTATCATTTATTATCTTTAGATACAGCTAATATAATATCATTATATCCAGGACCTAAACTTAACTCTTACCCTACTAATTTTTATGCCCCCACAGAGTGGGAGCATATAGCGTTGCACTTGTCCGTCCGAGTGTCAGTCCGTCAGTCCGTCCGTACGTCCCGAAATCTTGTGAACGCAACTCCTCTTAAACCGGATGGCAGATTTTGCTTAAACTTACAGGGATGAACAACCTTAATGTGTAGATGGTAGTAAAGAAAGGAATTTTCGCTGCGACCAAATTTAACAGAATTATGGCCCTTTGTTGATTTTTTCACTATATACTATGTAGAAATTTTGTGAACGCAACTCCTCTTAAACCGCATGGCAGATTTTGCTTAAACTTACAGGGATGAACAACCTTAAGGTGAAGATGGTAGTAAAGGAAGGAATTTTCGCTGCGACCAAACTTTACAGAATTATGGCCCTTTGTTGATTTTTTCACTATATACTATATAGAAATTTTGTGAATGCAACTCCTCTTAAACCGGATGGCAGATTATGCTTAAACTTCCAAGGATGAACAACCTTTATGTGTAGATGGCAGTAAAGGAAGGAATTTTCGCTGCAACCAAATTTAACAGAATTATGGCCCTTTGTTGTTTTTTTTCATTATATACTATGTAGAAATTTTGTGAACGCAACTCCTCTTAAACCGGATGGCAGATTTTGCTTAAACTTCCAGGGATTAACAACCTTAATGTGTAGATGGTAGTAAAGGTAGGAATTTTTGCTGCGACCAAATTTATCAGAATTATGGCCCTTTGTTGATTTTTAGTTTTCAACTTGTGGCACATGTAGTCCAAAAAAAATTTGACCTAGAGTCATAAGATTGACAGAACAGTGGTGTGTGGGGGCATCCGTGTCCTATGGACACATTTCTAGTTTTATAATTGACTTGCCCAGCCTTGATATTGGAACATTTCATTTTCAGTTTAAGGGAGTTCAGTATCGAGGTTTTTACTATAAACATAGACTGCTCAAGGGTGCAGGTTGACCTGGCTTAATACTGGAGGCATAGATCTGTAAATAGGGATAAACTTCACTCCAAAAGATATAAATATTTGAAATATCTCTCCAGAGTGACCCTCCACAAAAAAAAAAAAAAAAAAAAAAATGATTAAGACTTTAAACAAGTAACAGATCAGACTTTTACAATATTAAAATAAAAAATATCATAGCTACTGCTTAACAAGTGGATTTGGCTACAATTTCAAAATGCTGCATGGAATATCTCTTGTTAGACGGAATATTGAATTAAATTGTCACCTTAGTGCAGTAATAGGTTAACTCCTATAAAATTTCAATAAGAGTTAGCTCATTACTGCAGTAACATGATGAAATATTATCACAGATTTATTAAGGTAATAAAGCTAACAGACCAGTTAGCTTAAAGAAGCTTGGAGCTTTACTAAGGTCAAATAGACTAAATACATGTATATAGAATTTGAAATTGTAACATAGTTCAAGTGAAACACTTAGAATAGAAAAATTTGCAAAGAATAATAATAAAGTATATGCACAATTAAATTGAATATCAATTTTTTTTTCATTCTTAACCAATTTGAGTGAGAAGCTTTTCTTTTTTTTGGTCATTTCTCACAATAAAAATGATAATTGTGGGAAGGTGGGTGGAAGGAATGATCTGAAAATTTGCATACAAGTTATTGGTCTAGACTTTCAAGAGATAGTTAACACAAATCTCTGAAAAATATTTCCAGTCCCTTCATGTCCAAAAACCAGGTAGATCTAATGGTGTTCCAAAGTTCTAGATAATACATGTATATATTACATGTGTATTTATACTACTACAAACAAATACAATAAATCTTAATTATTTCTATGAATCTCTAATTTTAATGTACATGTATAAAACATTAAAAAAAAACACAAAAAAAATAAGTTGCTTTTAAAACAAAACTTTAGAAAGACTTTATTTATATAATAATAATTTGTATTTAAAAGAAAATAACTTTCAAGACAACATAAACGTCTTACATACAATTTATGAAAGTCCTTGTGAAGACCTATTGAAATATACAACATGTTAATTTTCATTTTCTCTAATCAAAATCTTTCCTAGTTTTCAACTAATGTTCTGGTTTCTAACTGTAGAATCGTTTTTCACAATGAAATGGTGTTGAAAATGCTCAATTACAATAACACTTCATAGTTTTGATGCTGTTTGGACATTTTTGTATTTTATTCCAAAAACATTCCCATTTTAATGATAATTTGAAGATTCAAAACAAACATCTCTGTGTTGGGCTAACCAAGACCCATTACCATAATGGTGACCATCGTGACCCCACGCCCCTCCACACACAAAACAAAAAAATATCCAGATGTTTATTGAACCTGTACTTTACTATTAATTGAGTGATGGACATATACTTGCTTTAATTTTGGAACTGTCCATAAGCAGTTCGTCACAAATAAAGTAAAATACACTTGCCTAACTCTACATAGATGAAATGGTTCAGCCATTAATGCACCTTACATTCAGACTATTAAGTGTCATACATCAGAGTTTTACAACTAAATTTCAATAAAACCTCTATTATACATAAATAAAAAAAAAGAAATGGTGGAGGTACAAAATAAACAAAAAATCTAGTACAAAAATGATGAGTACATTATTTGTAAAGTAATTGAAATATGCACAAAACCTAAATGGATGATCTGTGACGTAATACAAAATAAATAAACTTAAATGGATTGAGCGTATTTAAATAAATTACATCAAATGTTTATTCTCATACATTAGAAGTCTGTTCTTGCTGCGATTACGAGGCTGCTATTTGGGTACAATGTATGACCTTGACATTCAATGTACTAGATGACACACATTTTATTTTGATATATTTCCTCAGAATGGTGAAATCCCTTCATATTTGTCAAATGTGAAGTCATTCCTTTCACACTTCTGACCTTTGACCTTTGAACTTGAATTATGACCTTAACAAGAGCAATGTTAATATCTAAAGGGTACCAGTTCTTTTCTCTCTAATACAAAGTTATCTAGTACATACTTTAGTAACAAGACATTTGATTGGTTGACCCACTCCTGTGTTCTTTTTATTAACCAATTGCTGGACTTCTAATATTGGAGGATGCATATTTGTTGAAATGATAACAAAATCTTTACAAGAAGCGCCGCAATGCGAAGAAAACCAGGTTTTCAACGACCAAGTTTTGATGTGACAGCAATCAATAGGCCAAAAAGCACTGAAGTTATTGAGTAGAAGCTGAAAATTCTATTGTAAGCAAAAGACCTTGAACTTGCTCCCAGATACCTTAGTGGCAATCCAAAGCTGCCACTCAGCAAGTTTGGTGGCAAAAGGTCCAAGCAAACTCAAGGTATAACATGAAAACTAAATACATTAATCTTGATCACAGACACCTGGGTAGCAATCCCAAGCTGCCTCTTGATATAAGCTACCCATTCATCAAGTTTGGTGTCAATAGGCCAAAGCAAACTCAAGTTATTGAGCAGAAAATGAATTTCTATTTTTAGTAACAGTGACCTTGACCTTGATCACAGACAACTGGAGAACAATCCCAAGCTGCCTCTTGATATAACCTATCCATTCATTAAGTTTGGTGTCAATAGGACAAAGCAAACTCAAGTTATTGAGCGGAAAATGAACTTCTATTCTTGATTACAGTGACCTTGACCTTGATCACAGACATCTGGGTAGCAATCCCAAGATGCCTCTTGATATACGCTATCCATACAACAAGTTTAGTGTCAATAGGGCAAAGCAAACTCAAGTTATTAAGCGGAAACTGAATTTCTATTTTTAGTAACAGTGACCTTGATCTTGATCACAGACACCTGGGTAGCAATCCAAAGCTACCTCTTGATATAAGCTATCCATACACCAAGTTTGGTGTCAATAGGCCAAAGCAAACTCAAGTTATTGAGCAGAAACTGAATTTCTATTTTTAGTAACAGTGACCTTGACCTTGATCACAGACACCTGGGTAGCAATCCCAAGCTGCCTCATGATATAAGCTACCCATACACCAAGTTTGGTGTTAATAGGGCAAAGCAAACTCAAGTTATTGAGCGGAAACTGAATTTCTATTTTTAGTAACAGTGACCTTGACCTTGATCACAGACATCTGGGTAGCAATCCCAAGCTGCCTCTTGATATAAGCTATCCATACACCAAGTTTGGTGTCAATAGGTCAAAGCAAACTCAAGTTATTGAGGGGAAACTGATTTTCTATTTTTAGTAACAGTGACCTTGACCTTGATCACAGACACCTGGGTAGCAATCCCAAGCTGCCTCTTGATAATAAGCTACCTACACACCAAGTTTGGTGTCAATAGGCCAAAGCAAACTAAAGTTATTGAGCGGAAACCAAAAGTTGACGCCTGCCCGCCCGCCCGCCTGCCCACCCGCCCGCCTGCCCGCCCGCCCGCCGACTTCGGCATAACAATAACCCGGTTTTCGTTGAAAACCTGGTTAACAATAAGTTATTGTATATACAAAGTATAAAAGATGATACTGTTGATATATATATTGCTCAAACAGAAAATTCTCCATTTTACCAAAAATATTAAAAAATAATTGAAATGTGCATTGATATTCAAATGCCAAAAAAGAGGTGAGTGATATGAGTGTCAGAGTAAGTGTTTCCCCGTAACAACCCCAACTTTACCCTGATGCCCTACACTATGTACATACCATAGCTATTGTAATAAGCAAACTCAGAGATGAACTAAAACTAAAGATGTAAAAATAAATAATATCATAAGGGTAAAATAGTAAGTAGATATATGCTTTCACTAAAATTGTAACTGATCAAATAATTCTAACGTGTATATAATTATTGTTCTGTACATCAAACTTCAAACATTGTAAACCAATGAAAAGTATTCTAACAAAATCTCATTCTATTACCCTTTAAACCCTGTCTGGCCTGTCATATAAATTGCATCATTACCTTCATATCATTTCAACCAATGAATACAATTGTTACAAAAATCTAAAAAAAAAATTACACATTTTAACCAATGAAAACAATTGTTACATAAACCTAATAATATAACATGTTTTTAACCAATGAAAACATTTGTTACAAAAATCTCATGGCATTATCCTATCTGATATGCAGCACTCAGCACTGCAAGCATTTTTGGAAAAGAAAACCACAAAAAAAAAAAATAATAACACAGACATATGATGAAATAATAATAATGATATTGATGACACTAGTCTACAAGACACGGAACTATTTTCAGTTCAAGGAGAACACTGAATATTAGAAAGACTGCATATAACACGAGCATTGATGCGCCCATTAGTTTTGTCATTTTCCACTTTGAGGAGGCTATCACCATTACAACTATAAGAAGCATTGCAAAGAGTAACACAATAGAGCATGCCAGTCCATTGCTGTCTACATTGATGGGAGTCCCTTCATAAGCTGCACTATATAACAACCATGGAATGGGTAATCTGAAAGGAGGAGAAAAAACAAAATGATCAAATAAAAATCTTATATTTCAATAATTTGTTCATCATGGTCGAAAAGTGTGCAAAAACAGATATTGCCAACAGAAGTATTCATAATTGATGGCGGTGCACAGCAATAGTTTCTTTTGAGATGTAAAACACTAAGTTTCTTCTTTATATACCTAAACATTTCAGGGGTCCTTCATTTTGGAGAATACATTACCATATACCCCAGTCTAATTGCCCTGGTTATGTCAAATATACATGTAAATGCCCCCTTTCAAAATACATATTCAAAAACACTTGATAGGTAAGCATTAAAAAGTCAATGGGTGAAGTTTTTCAGAATGGGAATAAGTAATCATAGTTACATATAATATGTACGATTACACCACGTCAAACATAATTATCTATTGTACATGTATAATGAAGAAATATCAAGCTAAAGTTTCATATCAGAAATTCTACGAACTTATTCAAGGAAAACATCACAGTCTTAATACAATTTATGCCTTTTTTCATTTTTTATACACTAAATTAGCCCATTTTTCTATATTTTCCGATCAGCTGCTCATATTTCCAATCAACTGTCCCTGATTCAAGCTTAATTAGTAAAGTTTTATTGATATTTTCTCATTTCAAGTAGAATCATTAAATGGCTTTAAAGGTGATTTGAGGATACATTGTATGTTATTGGATTTTTCAAATCGTTGAAAAGTACTACATCTCTAATGATCGCAATGATACCTGATGATTTAACTCTACAGCTCCATACACTTGCATCAGAAATTAAACGACTGAACTTGTGTAATGGATTTGTCTAGCTTTGAATTTGGAACAGTCCATTCACAGTTTAAGGAAAATAGTAATATCAAAGTACAAAAATTTACAGAGCCTGGTCAGACTGCACAAAAGTGCAGAGTGGACTGGACCTTATACTGAGGCAAACAAAGGCTTATCACTTTGAGCTGGTTAGGTGTTAGGGTCTTAACTTTTAAAGAGAGGACATTGTCTTTTACAAAGGTGTCATCATCTCAATGTTTTACATTAACCAAACACATTCATTTTGAGTAATTCATTATAAATATAAAATAATGATAATGAAATTTTACTTACCCAACTGTGATATCAAAAATATTACTTCCGACTGAACTAGAAACTGCCATATCACCAAATCCTTTCTTCGCTACAATTACACTGGTGATCAGATCCGGTATGCTTGTACCTGCTGCTAGGATCGTAAGACCCATAATTTCATCGGGGATTCCAATTGTCTCCCCTGTCTGGTTGGCCATCCACACCATCAAGTACGAGAAAATAAATATCCAAATTATACTGCCAAAAAACGTCACCAGAAACCATTTCTTCTTATCCTGGATAACAAAATACAATGGTCAGAAAGGTCATTTTACATTGCATTTTAAGCTAATAAATTCTTTCTAACTATAAATAAATAAACTTTTTTCTTTCAAATTATTACAATCCCAACTTATACATGCCCTTTTATCTGATAGATTTTGTCTCAAATATGCTCTCTCACTCCATCCCCATTTTACAATCTGCATTAATTTTGTATTTATAATATGTTAAGATAATGACAGAATTTTTTTGTATATTTGATACTTTTATGACTTTCAATTCTATTTTCTTGTTATGATAAGCATCTAGAAACCTCTTAAACCATTATTTAAACATTATAAAACTCTTTTGTGCCCTTTCTAAAGAAAAAAAAAGGTTCAGAGGATAAATGTGCCTTTGCACAAAGATAGCGCTGTCAGTAAAAAAACCCAAAAAACAAAACAATCTAACCTCTCTACGTGTGTCGGGTAGTGTGAGCCACATTGGAAATATAAGTGGAGCCAGAAGGACGTAGGTTATTCTTCTCCGCCACTCAGGAGGCCATGACAGATCTAGGGGTTCATCACCATCATCAGGCATTTCATTCTAAAAATAAAGTCAGTGTGTAACATGAATAAGACATAGATACCGGTAAGAGGGTAAATGTTCAACCTGGTCTTTTTACATCTTTATATAGACTTATATGTTTGTTTGTTTCATTTTACGCCTTTCCCAACAGTATTTCAGTCATATAGGCGGGTAGTTTCCTAACCATCGTTACTGTAGAACTACACCAGTACTAGACTACCTTCCTCCGCGCTAAACTACCAAAGCATCTCCCGGGGATCAAACCTATGCCAGAGAGGTAACTGGATTAGAAGTCATCGTCTCTTACCCCTAGACCACGGAGATGGTTCTATAGACTTATAAATTCTTTAGATCATATAGTGACTATTTAACCTTAGAAGTGGGAGAATATTACAGCTTTGATATTCTTTAGTATATTGTTCCAGAAATAATTTTTTTTTTGGAACTAATAAGTAAAATTGATACAGTAGGTAACATGGTGATGACCATGGTAGGATTCAAAGTTGTGATCCCTGAGATAAGAAGTTTGTGCAAATTCTGATCAATATTGTTGCATTAGTTTACTGTCAACAAATATTCTGTGCCGCTCTATCTCATGTAGCTAAGTCAATCTCCTGAGTTGTGCAGAATATTGACATAGGAGTATACAATTACATGTATAAGCAACCGATTCAAACTTAATGGTCTACATGTATAACTCAATCATACATTTTTTCTATATTCTAAAATTTGTGAACAGTTTATAACAATTTTGGTTTAAATACGAAAAACCTGTACTTTTTTTGTATCACTGTGAAATAATCATCACTTAATGTGATCACTAGATGCAACAATGCTTTTTATAAGCTGACTGCATGCCTATGTTTACATTGTATTTAAATAATTCCATAATTTAACCATATTTGAAAATTGCTTTTTATATTTGTCCCTTGCTTAAAAAAAGCAAAATCAAGAGCTGTTCAAAAGACAATTAGTAAAACATCTGATAAAAATTAGAATTGATATTTAGCTTGTAGTCATATTGTATCAGCGATATAAATGTTCCTGCTGTGGATTTCACTTGTATGAAATGCTCTCGTTTTGAAGGTTCTTAAATTTTGTTGTTTTCTTTACTTTCTTTTACATTTTATACAAATTACAACTATTGTTTTGTTGTTTTTTTTTAAAATTTTCAGTTTAAATAATTTGTCCAGGAAAGTAATTAAAAAAATTAAAAATGGAAAAAAAAAAGAGAAACAAAAAAAAATGTGGCACCATAATGTGAAAGGAAAAAAATGTGCAGATTCAAAAAATTTTTGTTCAAAATATTCTTTTACCTGAAATTTTCTGCAATTGTGTGAAAAACTGAAAACAGGGCATGAACACTTGATTCCTGCTCCAAATGTGTGAATCTTATACTCAATATTTATTTTATAACTGGAAGGCTGAAACAGTCGCGGAGGACTATATAATTTTATAGAGATAAGACAGTTTTATATTCTTGTGCCCGGCTTACGGCTTCAAACTCACAGACCTGCAGGCCAAAGACCTGTCACTCTCTAAATTGAGCTAATTATGCCAGCAAACCTTATCCATTAATTCTTTCATATTAATCTAAAAAGCTTCACTGAAAGGTATTGTATTTGAAAAGTTAAAAGTACAATATTGGGAGGTACTGTATTGTTCATTAAGTAGTTAAAACAATAAAGAATCCAGTGACAAGTTCAATAAAACATTAATTTTTCATATCACTGATATAATGTAACAAAACAAATACATGAAACAATGGAATAAATATGATCTTGAAATATGAATATTTTATGTGGAATTAATCAGCCTGATTTTTAACAATGCATATTTAAATATTAAAAAAAAACAACAAAAAACAGGTTAGGTACAATTCCTACTTTTATATGACCTAGTTAAGTCAAAAGTGGATGGTGTTTAGAATTGAGAGTATTTTAGAATTAATGCTTGAAAATATAGCAGGCTTAATCAATAGCAAATCAACATAGTAGAATCATGACAGCCTGCACATCACTATACAGTCTAATTATAAATATCTGGAAAATGGGTGATCCCTCAGAAGAAATGAACCAACAGTATTACATGAAAATTGTAGACTTTGCTTCAATAAGTCTGTTCATGTGAGATAATGTAACTGTGCAACATCTCTAAGGCACCCTCTAACACGGGCATAACGCCTATATGGCTCGTGCAACATCTCTTAGGCACCCCCTAACACAGGCATAAGGCCTATATGGCTCGTGCAACATCTCTTAGGCACCCCCTTGCACAGGCATAAGGCCTATATGGCTCGTGCAACATCTCTTAGGCACCCCCTAACACAGGCATAAGGCCTATATGGCTCCTGCAACATCTCTTAGGCACCCCCTTGCACAGGCATAAGGCCTATATGGCTCCTGCAACATCTCTTAGGCACCCCCTAGCACAGGCATAAGGCCTATATGGCTCGTGCAACATCTCTTAGGCACCCCCTAACACAGGCATAAGGCCTATATGGCTCGTGCAACATCTCTTAGGCACCCCCTTACACAGGCATAAGGCCTATATGGCTCGTGCAACATCTCTTAGGCACCCCTAACACAGACATAAGGCCTATATGGCTCGTGCAACATCTCTTAGGCACCCCCTTACACAGGCATAAGGCCTATATGGCTCGTGCAAACATCTCTTAGGCACCCCTAACACAGGCATAAGGCCTATATGGCTCGTGCAACATCTCTTAGGCACCCCTAACACAGGCATAAGGCCTATATGGCTCGTGCAACATCTCTTAGGCACCCCCTAGCACAGGCATAAGGCCTATATGGCTCGTGCAACATCTCTTAGGCACCCCCTAACACAGGCATAAGGCCTATATGGCTCGTGCAACATCTCTTAGGCACCCCCTAGCACAGGCATAAGGCCTATATGGCTCGTGCAAAATCTCTTAGGCACCCCCTTATACAGGCATAAGGCCTATATGTCTCTATATAAACTGCTTGGTGCTTATTTAATCCATATTTAGATACCAAAAATCCCAGACTGTTCTTTATTCAAAGCATGACATGTCCATTAATACAGTGTCATACTATTACATGTATAAGGATACCTGAATATATTCAGGGGTTGGTAAGACATACATGTATAAAAGGAACAAATGGCATTTTATATTTAATGCCATTTTGTGCCATCTGATCATGGTCTGCAATATAAGTCACTATTCATTAAAAAAACATCTCTGTCACAATACAGAAATTCTTTTAACTTCTCAAGGACTGTTTTATTACACAAACTAAATGAGGGTGCAAGATAAATTATTTCTAAAAATTTATCATGAAAAGTATTTCTGAAAAATTTATCATGAAATTTACAATGTATTCATATACAATCTGTTACCCTAATATTAGCAATATATACAAAATTTAGAAATTACCTCTTTAGCACTTTCTGGATCAGAAGAATTTTTGGGAGATTCAACGGTGGTTGTTTCTGTGTTATTGCTGATACGCGTTGAAGAGCTTTGCATTTGTATTCTCTCCTCCTCAACTGGAGAGCTTGTAGATTTGGCAGGGGAGACAATCCTTGTTGTAAATTCAGTCTGGTAACCTTGAATTCCATTTGAAATAGCAGTCACTTTCATTTGTTTTTGGTTACTGTTTTTATCAGGACTGCTATGAAAACCTCCGTTATGAACTTCACCATTGGCTAGAGATTCTTGCGATTCCCCGTTGGTATTTACATGCGCAACAGCATGTAGCTTCATCGCTTTGTCTTGGATATGATCTAAAAATAGACAGAATACCATGTAGTTATTTCGGAATATATAGCTATGTAAAACATTTCTTTTTTGTTGACTTGCTATCAAATGAACATCATTAAATGTTTCTTGAATATCTTCTTAAATATATGGATATAAAAATTGGAGATGAAGCTAAAGACTGTTGAATATCAATGACCTGAAAGAATCCTCAGAACCTTTGAATTATTGTAATGTAGCAAACATCTCACGTAATGATTTATTTTGTTATTCTAATGGAATACTAGACAACCACAAAACAATAACTCAAAACCAATTTCTGTGTAAATTTATTCTTAAATATTGTAAAATTAAGTCAAATTTGCCCTTTTAAGAATGTTATTTCATGCAAAAGAGTCTCGACATTGGCCTGTAATAGCAGTACTTTAAGCAAAAAAAACCAAAAAAACTAGGAAAATAAGAGACATAGCAGAAACCAGACATAGGAGAAAGCTAACTACTTGATTTCACCTTAAGACTATATACTTGATTTCACCTTAAGACTATATCAACATAATTACGATCTTTTATTTTGTCTTCAGTACATGATTAACAGTATTTATTACAGGAAGTTGATATAATTATATTCTGTGCAATTTTCAGCATCGCATATAAGTATATTTTACATCTAGTCATGGTAAAGTCTTATGGAAATTAGTAGCAATTATTGAGTTTTCTACATTAATCCTGCTGAATTTCTTAAATGCACTAGCCCAGCTTCCATTTTTTAGACCGTCAATTATCAATTTTGGAGAATCCGTCCTGCAGATTAGGCTCAAAAGGTAGCTTTGGACTGTGAATCAGGTGACACAGGTTTGATTCCTGGAAGGAGCAGGTCACTTTCCTTGAGATTGATCATTATAATATATCAGATTCTATGGATTGAGATTTGCCTGAACCTGCTGGACTGTTAAGCCTTTGCCAACAGTGTGGAGCCAGGCCAGTCTGCATTTATTTACACTCTGACAAGGTCCTATACTATTGGTAGCATTATTTTTGTACTTTCATTTTTGGTCCAAATCTCTTGCTTATTAAGGCCAAATCACCTTATCTGGGTGGTTTGAATTATAGCATGTGTGGTATGGATGCCATAAACTTGGGATGAACTATTCCAAATTTGAAGCAGGGCAAATCCATAATATAAATTCAGCAGGTTAATATTGATACACGTGTACACATTGATACACGTGTACACATTGATACACGTGTACACATTGCTACACATTGTATAGTATCTTTAAATATACTCTAAAAATCTACACTTATAAATATTAAAAGGTACATTATAATTATAATTTAAGATACATGTATTGTCTTATTATGTTAGGACAGTGCAGTATTTAAAAACTCTCTTTTATTTTACCCTACTAATGATACAAAACTTTACTATAGGCACTTTTATGATATTTTTTCTAGGCAATCATTTTTCCAATGCTTATTTCTAAATACAAATGCATATTTTTTCTCCCTTTTTTTTTCTTGCTCTCAGAGATACACTACATTTCCACATTACAACTAAACAAAAGTGCCATTTTGTCAAGAAAATACATATGTCACAAATGCCCATTCTCACAAAAGTGAACATCTACATTAAAAACTACTTTAGAAACTGTAAGCTTTTGTACAAAATAAAGTATTTCTGTTATAGTAAATAGGTTTTTAACAAAGACATTTAAAATATACACAGAATGGCAATGATAATGACAAGAGAAATATTATATTGTCTGTGATTAATAAACAGTAAGGTAAAAAAAAATAATTTGATTCAATAATATGTTACGTAATTCACCGACTTTCAGTATTTCTTGCAATCTAGCATTATTCTCCTGTTTTTACATGTAATGAAGACAAAAACTTGAAAATTTTGTTAGACAGCAATGCTATACCATCTACTTCCTAGTCTGTTTAAGGTTATTAGTCTGCATTAAGCCATTATGCTAGCTTGTCTGCTTGCTTGCTTGCACACAAGTGATAAAAGAACAGAGGCTGCTTGCCATTAAAACCTTACTTGTATTTGTTAAGCAGCAACTTTTGTATTCAACAATACTGGAGACCCCAAGTTGTGGCATGACAGAATAGTATTTCGTGCATATCTCACTGGTGTTTCCGTTAGTTTTACCCCTTTCCGGAAATTTTTATCTGGCATGGGGGTGGAGGGTGCCAGATGAGTCGTGTGCTGTACACTTAGGATGACGTAATTTTACCGTTATGAATAAAGTTGTAATTCATACACTTTTGTAACAATTAAACTTTAAGTTACGGTAGTAATGACATACATTTACAAGAAAAATTGTTTCACTAAGGTAAAGGGTTTCTTATTTAAGGATCAGGAAGAAATATTTGCAATTAATGTCCAAATACAGCTTTATCTTTTGATGAATTACAAATGTCAACAACCTTTTCCGACATGACGGAAGTAAAAAACAATAATATTATCGAATAATATAAATTGGCTTCAATTACAGACTATGAAGTGCACAGCAGATTAATTTGTGTAAACAAGCATGAAGCATTTTGATTTATAAGTACATGTTTCCTATACACATCACCTGGATCCTCTTGTTTCGGATCTTTCCGGTATATTTCCGGTATTTCTGGTTCTGAACATAAGTTTTGAAGCAAAAACATGCATGAAAGAAAAACAACAATAAAAATTCCATTAACACTGAAAATATATTCAACTAGAGCTACCACTAAAGGTGATTTATCTGGGCCCCACCTGCCACTTTAACTATGTGGAAAAATTATTGGTCTGAAAAGTAAACATTTCTACAGGAAAAAAACGCAAAAAAAATGAAAATATAATTTTTCTATATCTACATTGTATATCATTACTTAATTCATTTTCCCTGACTAAAGGTATAAATGTTTGATTTCAATAAGCAACAGACTAGGGAATGTCATTGCATAAAAAACCAGCTTGACTGCTGCGTGTACAGCGGCTTAAAAAAGGCATCGTCTTGATGTAGTTAATTATAGTATTGTACAGATTATGATTATTATATAACATAAATATAGGAGTGTTATTCATTGAAAAAAATAAGCAACAGAAAAGATCAATTAATTATGATAAACTCATTGCAGTCCATATAGGATTACATAAATTACGTTCTGAATAAAATGATCCTAGATGAAACTGATGTAGACCTATGTTGAGTTGAAACGGTGTCTTTCTTAAATAAAACAATACATTTTTCTTTTTTCTTTTATTGGTTGGGTTTTACATTGCACCAACACAGTATAGGTAATAATATTTGCTACTTTCCAGCTTTCACTTGTGGAAGACCTCAGTTGCCCTTCCATGCATTATTTCAAACATAAATGGTTACCTTAGTAGAACCACAGACATTCTCTAACTTAGCTGAATTGTTTCCTCATATGAAAGAATACAAAGTCCCAGCTGGGATGGACCCACCCACAGCATAGAGGGGCAAGTTGTTTGAAGTCAACAACCTTAACCAGTCCACCATAGACACCCATTAATATATTTTAAAATTTAAAGTGGAGTTGACTTCAATATTCATATTTACATTAACCAGGAGTCTTTCAAATTTGAAAGAACCTGCATTAACCTTATTAGGCTAAAACATAAAATAAATTGTTAATTGCAATGAAATCAACTCATTTTGGGATAAGAATTACGAGAAGTAAATACTAGAGATTGATACAAATAATAGCTATTACAAGATTTATGTATCCCTGATGAAGACCTTGATAAAAGTTGAAAAAAAAAATAGGATTTTAATAATTCAGATTTTCAAACTTTTTTGTCACTCATTATTCTTTCATCATATTCATAGAAACTTAATCAGCCTTACCTTCAGCAATAGGATCTATAGTGTGGATCATCAACTGCAGTACCCCATGCCTGAAATGGCTCGTACCCGAGTGTAAAATTGGTATACTACAGCTTCTGTGTGGTTTCTGTGACGAAAAAAAAATACATGCAAGGGATTATTTAGTGTTTCGGTTATTAAATGTAATTTCTCAAACCTATATCGTGGTTCTGTATAATTTCTCTTAGACATTTTGTGTTACACATCCTTGCTTAAATAAAATTAAACATTCATCCTATAAAAATGTTGCTAACTTATTTCCAATCGGAATTTAAAAATTAAAACACCCTAATTAAAAAAAAATATAATAATGCAGAGAATGTTTAATCAAATATTTAAGCTATAATATTAACTTACATGCATTACATAAAATAAAATTAAAATCATTATTCTATGACATGTTTTATATTATACAGCTATATTTTATCATCTTAAAATTAGTGTCTTATTAAAAAGGGACACAACTCTAGCAAAATGTACATTTGTTAATGAAATGCTATAGTGTCATACCAGAAGTATTTATATTACACTGAAATAAGGTGTTTAATACATGACATTGTGCTATTTATAATAATGTTCTTTGAAATAAATAAATTTGAAATAATAATTCACTCCAATTATATATTTTTAAAATCCACATATTTATAGTGAATATTTATATAAAATATAAATCCACACTTCAATCATTAATTCTTATAAAAAGATATAATTTTACACCTGACATATGATATTAATTAATTTAATTATAAATTGTAATTTAATAAAAATTCCTCTTTTTTCTTCAGAAAATGAGACAATATATATAATTTGATATTGACAGAAATGATGGACATTCATATGAAGAAAGCATCAGAAATAATTGATCTACAAATATTACAAATATTGATTGTATCATTTAATTTATCAACAAATATTGCTTATCAATTGCTATTTAATTTACAATAATTTCACCAATTACCAAAAAAATTATGATTCAATTATCACTTATATATGTATGCTGTATCAATTTTTACAAATAACAAACATTTATAACAAAAATGTTCAATAAAAATTCATATTTCAGGATAAAACATGAAAACAAAGGTGTAAACATTAAAAAAACAAACCAAACAAAAACAGAAGAAAAATGTGTTAAACATCAAGAAAGCTGAAAATGTACAACTGCAAAACACATCTAAAAATGTTAAAATTAGTAAAAAGTAAAAGTTAGTGCAAATTCTACTCTACTTGAGTGTAACTCGGGATAGTCAAAATACAAAATGTATATTGACGTGCCAAAGCTAGATTCTGAGATATATTTGTCCTGGGTCAGAATCTCGCTTCTAGAGGGGAGATATTGCTCATTCACAAAATAACACAATATCTGGTGGTGTAGTACAATTAGTTTGAACATGTAAACTGGACTGTTATAGTTTCATACTAATAAGAAAATAAACAAATAAACACAGTCATAAAACAGTGATATTACAAATCTAATTGTATTGACTCCCAATCATATACATGTATGTAAATATATCTAAATGTATAATAAAAAATGAAAACAAAATTCATTTTATGACTGGCAAAGAATTTAAAAAGGTATCTCAATGGAGACTAATGAAGAATATAATATTATAAAGTAATCAAATGGTATCACAATGGAGTAATCATTGAAGTTGTTAGTCAAAAGTGTATCTCGAGGGAGTAATAATATGTAAAGTATCTAGTCAATAGGGTATCTCAAAAGAGTAAAATAGCTAGTCAAAAGGTATCTCAATGGAGTAATATTTAAAGTAGCTAATCAAAAGGTATCTATATATAGAGTAAACAAATAATGTAAAGTAGCTAGTCAAAAGGTATTTCAATGGAGTAATATTTAAGTTATGTAGCTAGTCAAAAGGTATCTTAATGGAGTAATGTGTTAAATTGCTAGTCAAAACGAAGGTATCTTAATGGAGTAATATGTAAAACGGCTAGTCAAAAGGTATCTTAATGTAATAATATGTAAAATGGCCAGTCAAAAGGTATCTCGAAAGAATAAAATGTAAAGTAGCTAGTCAAAAGGTATCTTAATGGAGTAATATGTAAAATGGCTAGTCAAAAGGTATCTCAATGGAGTAATATGAAAGTACTGAAGCTAGTCAAAAGGTATCTTAATACAGTAATAGGTAGAGTAGTTAGTCAAAAGTTATCTTAATGTAGTGATATGCAATGTAGTCAAATGGCATCTCTATGGAATAATTGTTACCATAAAACAGATACAGATATGAGATTTGTTAAAACACAACTACAAAAGCTACTAACAAACCTTTCAACAAAACTTTGACAAGACTAAAACATATTTCTTTTTAATATAGAATCTAAATCATGTTTGGTTGGCTTTATTTTGTACAAAATAGCATTTTTTCCTAAATCTATCTCAATTCAAATTTAAATGTTTCCTATGACGAATTATTGAAGGAACTCCAAATGTCACATCCAATAATAGACATCAGACAGCTTCATAAAATGAGCTGTGTCATGACAAATTGGTTTGCGACCAACATGGAGCCAGACCAGCCTGCGCATCCACGCAGTCTGATCAGGAACCATGCTGTTCACTTACCAACTCTATTACAAGTGGAGAAACTGACAGTGAACAGCATGGATCTTGATCAGACTGCGCAGATGCGCAGGCTGGTCTTGATCCATGCTGGTCGCAAACCTATTATGTTGGTTTTGTCGTGACGCGGCTCAAATGGTGCAGATAACAGTTCTGGAAATGTGCATTATACCTTCACAATGTTAATAAATAGGTAACAATGTCTCATGGCTGGAATCACACGACTATTATGGCATATTGACAACATAGGTGGACAAACCCTGTCAATTCCGAGAAAATTGTCAGGTAGTTTGATTATAACATTAAGGTTTATCACACCCTACATGAAATGAAATGATTTTATTGCTTAATGTAATATTCTATTTATCACATATCTAAAATAAGAACTGTTCATGCTAAAAAATAATAATTTTTTCATTTACGCCCCTATAGTGATATGCTATTATTAAGTGCATCCTTATGCTATATTTTACACAAATGCTATATTTTACACAAATGATGTCATACACAGTCAGGCAACACCCTTTAACAGAGCCGCAAAAGCAGCAAGGGTAGGTGATAAATTTTGATAATAAATGGGTATAAAACATCAGATGATTCCCAGCCATGAGATCTGTAATATTATTTTCATCCAAATAATTTCAAACTCAAATCAAATCTCATCAAAACAAAACAAACATTCGAAGAAATTCATTTTGTCTGAAAAATATTTTGGGAAAGTTTGAAGGTCAAGAATAGCAGACAAAATCCAAAATACATTCTTCTAATGTTGTTTTAGATATGATATATAATTTATACAAATGTTTTTCAGAAACGATCATTTTTTTGGCATCGAACATTGAAAAGGTTATTAGGTTGTATGATAAACGATTTGAAAACAAGTTTGAAATTATTGAACACATTAAGAAGTTAAGACTTGTAACCCCACGGCAACTGAATTAAAGAAGGAATTATCTAAAGAAAAGAAAAGAAGAAAAAAAGAGAGGGCGATGAAAATATTGTATTACTGCAAGAAGTGGCACCAATAGAAATTATTTGGAAGGGCCAGATTGAAAATAATCTCGTTATCGTTAAATCATTGAATGCAATTCATAAAAATCATTGTTTTGAAGATGGCATGGATAGATGAAATTTTTTTTAACTGACTTATTAAACTTAAAGGATCATAATTATTATATTTTTTTAACTATTAAAATAATAGCATTATTTAAAACAGCACACCTCCAGATTCATGATTATTTCAGTGAAACATTTTAAAATGTATTAAAAAGTAAAATATTGTCAATTAAGTGAACAAAGTAATTCACTCATTGCAAACGGCATTTAAATCTACAAAATTACCAAAATTAAGTAAGAATACGTAAAAAATAAAGCCCTTACTGTGTTAGTCGCCCAGTAGAAATATGGTGATAAATACTGCAGCATCAGTCAATAATCACACACAACACGTAAGTTGTTTTCTTAAATTGTGAATATTTTTTTCTTCTCTTAAAATCTTAGTATATTTTTCTCAAGTTTGATTTTCTTGAAATATTTTGGCTGATCTGGAGGCATGCAGCTTTAACATCAATTTCTTGGGGTTTGCATAAGGTTTTGATACAAAGACCAGCTGTCTGTAAAGTTAGCAGAAAAAGAATTTCAATAAGGGTGCTTAAAGTTTCAACTTAAGCTTTGTTTTCACAAAACTCGTAATTTTGTAATCAAGTTTTACGTAAATGTAAAAGCCGCAATCCTTTGACGTCTGTATGGCATGGATAAAGCAGGCCGGAAATTTGTCTTGTTTTTGATAATACTCGCAAAAAAACTATGATAAGAGTTAGTTAAATATAAGACAAATAAGCAATTTTTTCCCTTATTAACAATTAATACTGTTTTTTGTAGAATCATTTATAATTATAATCAATAAGTCTTTTCAACTGACGGAAATAAGGATGGCTTTGACCAATATAAACCAATTTATTATTTTCAGCTGCAGTTCAATATCCCTTCCAATTAATCTCCTTAGCATGCGAAGTCATTTAATTAGCTTAAAAACATTATTTTGCCTCAGTAAATGGATTACTTAATTCTTGCATGTTTTTACGGGACTTTAATCATACTCAGGCGGGCATTTACCTTGCAAAAGTCTTCCGCGTAATTGCTTCAAATACTGGTTTTTTGCTGTTGTTTCTTTTTTTAAAAAGAACAGGTCTTTAATCTTAGTTAAAAATTACAAAAATGCAATCTCATGGACAAACTTTAAAATTAAACAAGTTAACAAAGTTTGTTGTTTTACATTTATTAATTTTGCTGCAATTGTTCTGTTGCCTGTTGTGACAGTAGCTATCAAATTTTAGGATGACCTGGTTCTAAATTATCAAGATCGGCAAAATCTGATTCTGACTCACTTGTTTCAGACCTGGCAAAATCTGATTATGATTTACTTTAATATCTGTTTAAACAGAAACATTTCTTAACTTGTCTATATTGCCAATACTGTCCCGGACAAATAAATAAGTGCTTTACATGCTTTATTAATTTTGTCTGTACAGGTCGTCGGACAATCTGGGCAATATGGACAACTGATTTTGCCATCCCTCCACACTGGCCTGCTGCATTTCTTTATATGTCCATATTGCCCTGACTGTCACAAAGCCTGTATGGACAAGTTAATAAGTACTTTAGATGCTTTATTTGTCCATACACTCTGGCCGTCTGGGCAAGATGGACGATTGATTTTGCCACCCGACCACTGCCCCTCCCACTTCTGACATCACTGATTGGTCTTTAATTATAGACTGGATGTTTAAACTTTCAAAGGGAATGATCTTAAACATATTTCCATCATATCAACAGTTTTTCTTATCTTTATTTACTTTATTTTTTCCCCTCATCCAACATAAGTGGATCAATATACCTGTAAAATGATATAACTATATTCACCAGCTCTTTGTTTGAATAAACAAGATTTGATCATAGCAGGTCAACAGTGTCGAATGATATTTGATCACAAGAAAAACAAAACAAATATATCTTTTTATATATATATTGATTTACTCAACATCATCGACCTTTGATTATTTGTAAGTGATAAAATTTTTATTTGCTTCAATGCGTTTGAATAGTATCTGTAGTACAAGTACAGACTCAAAATACATTAAGAATCAAAGTCTTGGGCAACGATGATATAATTGATCAATTAGACGCTGTATGATGGCTCCATGGCACAGTGTTTAAGGACATTGACTTTATCTTTTCATTTATTTTCTTTATTGGTTGGGTTACACATTGCACCAACACAGTATAGGTCAGCTTTTCTTGTAGAGGAAGACCTAAGATGCCCTTCCTTTCATTATTTTTGGCATGAACGGGCACCTGACAGTAGAACCACCCACGTTCTGTAAGCTAGCTAAATAGCTTCGTCATGAAAAAATTCAAAGTCACTGCCTGGATTCGAACCAACAGCAGTTACGGGCAAGTGGTTTGAAGTCACAGAATCCCAAAACTGACTTTAAATCTCTTATCATTCACCACTTTCATTATAGTTTGAACCCCACAAGGTTGTATTTAATATTTTTATTAAAATATTAACCTTCTCTCATATGTGAGGAAGCTATACTCCTGGCTAACCTTACATAGTTTCAAGTGCTCATTTATACCTGAAATACTGCAGATATTAATATTTTTTCTTTTTTGGTTGGGTTTCACATTGCACCAACGCAGTATCGGTCAGCTTTTCTTGTAGAGGAAGACCTCAGATGCCCTACCCTGCATTATTTTAGGCAAGAACGGGCACCACCTATATTCTGTCAGCTTGCAAAATAGCTTCCTCATATAAAAGAATTCAAAGTCACTGTCTGGAATCAAACCCACAGTAGTTACTGGCAAGTGGTTTGAAGTCACAGACGCCCCAGACTGACTTAAAATCTCTTATCATTCACCACTATCATTAAAGTTTGAACCCTACAAGGTTGTATTTATTATTTTATTAAAATATTAACCTTCTATCAAGTGTGAAAGCCATCCAGCTGGCTTAACTAACTTAGTCTCAGGTGCTTCTAATGCCTATAATGCAGAGCCTAAATCCTCCAAAAATAAAGCAGTTGTGAAATTGCAATCATTTATGATGACCCTCAAAAAATGTTAGTGTGCTAATAATTATGCCCACCAATATAAATCAAAATTAAAACAAATACGACATTTAATATTCTTTTTAAAACTATCAAATTTTACTTTTTTGTTCTTATTTTTCAGCAAGGCTTTAATCAAGCATAAGGCATTATAATTTAACCCTTATCATTTATTAAATCTCTAGTTATTCATATAGGTGCCACTTCTTAAAAAAAAACTCAAAGAATGGAAAATAAGAAAAAGAAAATAAAAGGAAACCAAGACAGATTATTATCATTATTATAGACATGAAAAGCTATGGAGAATAGCAAACATCAACGTTGTTGTTGTTGTTTTTAAAAGAGTTTTCAAACCTCTATATGTGAGCTTGAGCAACATTTCTTTTTATTATACAGCAAGTCCAGGTCTCCGTTTGAATATACGTTCTGTAAATGAAACACATTGAGCCTTCAATTAGCAATGTTTTTTGTTTTTACTGTCACGGCTTGAAACATTGCTGTTACTTTTTAACAAAAGTACAATTACGTATCTGACACATATTCTGAACAGTAACAACACGTTGTCACCAGTAACATCAAATAGTGTCATATAAAGCCGCCATGATTCTTTTCACTTCCTGCAAAGCTATATAATCTAATTTAACAAAATCTGACTCCCATGAAGCTGAAACCAAAAGAGGTATTAAATTCATATACGGTCAGCTATAAATAGGAACAAAACAAAAACAAAAGTACACATCAAATTTCATCCTATTTTCTAGTAAGTGTCATATAATGTTAACAATATTATGACATTGATATGTATAACACTACATATCAATTCTACAAATATTATATTATATCATTCTATTGATATTGTAACATTGATAGCCTCGTAAATGAACGTAAATGAACACAGGGGAATAAAAATTGCTCAATAAGGTGAGAATAATTGCTAAAAATCAATTCTATTTTATGTGATAACATGCATACAAATATTCATATATATCAAAATCTAATATTCTTGCTTTGGCATTTATAATGCCGTACCACCTCCCGCCCGCACCCCCTATACACACTAAACACCACACCCACTTCTCCTCCCACACGCAACCTTAAAAATTTTAGTGACAAAAACGTAGTGCAACAGTACAGTACTTTAAACAAAACAATAAACAATGGTGACAAGATTCTGATGTTGCCTAGCAACTTATATACAAATATATGGAATACTAAAAAAAAATTATCTTAGCAACTTTATAAATAAACATTCATACAGTTTAAGGTAAAATTACATAGAGACTTAGGTAATTTGGCCATAACAATAATCGATGATTTGATAATCATTTCTCACTGTTTACTATAAAGCAATCAACAGTAAATTATCAGTATGCTGACGGTACATGTACATATTTGGACGATAGAAATAGAATTTTTGCAGGTAAATGTTTGGAACTATAGCGAACATGCCTTATGTACAAGAATTGCCTGAAATTTAAATGAATTTATTACACAAATAAATGCTAAAGAATGAGGAAAAATTACTTATTATTCAATTTCATGAATCTGTCAGTTGAATACTTAGAAATGGTCAAAATAAAATATGCGCACAATAAATACCTTTCTCATCTGCAGGATTTTGGTTGTGTCCAAATTTTAAGCTGCCAGCGTTCAATGTAATTTCATATATCACCTTTTCAATGCTACAGGCCAGAATTATTCTTTTGAATATTTTTAATGCTTTTAGTGCATATATATTTTGCCTTTATGTCTTTCCAAAAAGACTCTTTGGCATAATTTTATATGGCTGCTTTGCTACTCACAGATTTTGCCAGTGTGATGATTTGCTAACAGTGGCGTAACTATTCAAAATATTAATGTAACATTTAACTGGACCTCAGTTTTTAATGTTGTCTGCAAAAGACTATTGAGTTTCAGGTGATTGAACTCACTACCCCTGGATTCATGGTCAAACAGTGTTACGTCCATGGTTCCAGTGCATCTGCTCTTAGGAATGACCTACATATAGTATAAGTAACCAATAGTGACTAGGTATACAAACAAACTACTTTACTACAGCTAGCAGATATTTTTTTTTTTTACTATCAGAAAAAAAAGTTCCTGAAACAGGACTGATTAACTGATTCTAACAATTATATCAAAGGGAATTCTTGCCCATTTTTTTCCCACTGCTGACCTAATGTCAACATGGTTTTATACAATGACATGTCGTAAACAACAAGCAGCAATTAACTGATATCTCTAACTGTCTTTTACCAACAAATACCTGACAATTTACACCATTCACCGATAAAAAAAACAAATTCATTTGTAAACAATACAGATTAATTCAGGAAACAGGTCAGGTTTCATACTATTTTTCTGTCACAATGAGATTGATAATAAACATTATGCAGACAGGTTGATGGTGGTTATTTTCACTGCACCTATTAATCATTGATGAATTAGTATCACTGCGCCAAGAAAATAGTTCCAACTATACCAAAGAGACCTATTGCATTGGATGATGATGTTACAATATTTAGCCAGTATATTGGTTTTAGTAATGTCCAGAGTAAAATGGTTTTAACTGGAACAAACTGGCCCTTACTAGTACTAGAGCAAGGCGTTTTGTTGACTGATTTTAATCATCAGAAATTCTGAAATGAGTTACTTCAGTGTATAATCATTATTTGTCACATAAACCGCGGCGCAGGAGTGTAATAAAGCCATTTAATAAAAACGATATTACACTAGACGATATTACACTAGTGTAATAACACTTTGACGTCACGTCATTTGCACTATAAACATAGCGTTAAAGCGCGCAAATGTTAGCGTTACACTATAGGCGCGTCAAAGAAAAATGACTGTTGTTAACGGTTTACCGTTCTTATTTTATATATGTGATAAATAGAATATTATATTCGTGTAGATTCAATACTAAATTTATTGAACTCGTTGAATAAAACAATATTATGCTCGCCAGAGGCTCGCATAATATGATTTTATTCAACTCGTTCAATAAATTTAGTATTAAACCTACACTCATTCAATATCCTCTATATAGTGTATTATCATTAAATGAGATAATGAAGTTAAATGCACATTTCCCTTAAATTTAAAACAAAATGATTCATGGACAATTAGAATGGCCCCTCTTTCCCTTGAATAGTTGACCTACAAACAACTAATTTTGTTTGGAAAGAATTTTCTTTTCTATCAATTAATGTTACATAATTTGCATAAACTAAGTACATTTGTATTGAGCAAAATCAACATAATTATTTCTTTTCAAACATCTTTTTTTTATCATGAAAAAATAGATAAAAGTACAACATCATCGCCAATCAAAACAAAATGTTGTTATGCTAGATGCAATCATACACTGTACAGTTGTTACTTATGCAAAAACACCTACATTTTATCCTTCAATCTATTTCAACTAATTGAGCAAGTAAATACTTTTTCTGTCTACCAATCAAGACCAATTAATACCAGGACAGCTATAGTTACGTTGCAAACACCCAGCAGGTGCATCCATTTATTATTGCTTTTGTTTCTTGAAAGTTATTGAATATCGCCGATCCATTAATTCTAGTGCGTTTCTTGCATTTTATTTCGTAACTCTGACATGAAACGTTCGTGTTTAGCTGACAACACAACAACAAACTGTCAGACAACACAACAACAAACTGTCTCATTTGTGTGCATCACACTTTGTACATGATAATGATCAAATTACCATTAATGAAACATACATTTCTTCAATTAATTAGAAAAAAACTCTGTCAAGGTATTTCATCAAGTACAAAGAAAAACACAAGTTACAATCAGTCTAAATGACTTGATTTGCCTTAAAACTTAACAGCTAAAATAACCCGCGGAAAATAACAATATAAATTTCAAAAACTGTCCATGCAATCAAGATGTTTTCATTATTAGTAACCTGGAGTTTTTACAAAAAATGTCTCTTGATACATAATGCACATGAATGTTTTGGTCATACCTAGTCGCTTGAACAACCTAACTGGCTTTACGATACAAAGTCTTAGGATTTCAAATAGCCAATAGAGCCTTATTCCCTCCCAATTGTTGCTCTCTTCAAAATCACTTTTCATTATTGTGAAAAATTGTGACAAGCTCAATTGAAGCACTTTAGAAATGCAACATGTAATAAATTTACAGATTTCTAGTCTATTTTTTCTATTTTTCCAAGAGATAACAATTCTCTGAAGTGCTTTGTCAATGTATAATTGAATAATGACTTAGTTCAAACAAAATCAGTTGAATAATGATGTTAAATTATGTAAATATTCTGCAATAACAGACTGCTGCACCATTAATTTAAGTATTTTATCATTATGAATTATCATGCATTTCTCTATACAGCTTCTCCTCTTGATTCATCAGAAAGCTGAATTACCTTCCCTTGCTAGTAGTGATTTTTCCATTTAACCTCCCTTGGTTGCCATTATTTCATTTCTTTACTTAATTTTTGTAAGATGATATTGAAGGTGCGTAAATTGTTTAATTCAATATATCAGCCGCGTCATGACAAAACCAACGTAATGCGTTTGCGACCAGCATGGATCAAGACCAGCCTGCTCATCCGCGCAGTCTGATCAGGATCCATATTGTTCGCTTACCAACTCTATTTCAAGTAGAGAAACTGATAGCAAACAGCATGGATTCTGATCAGACTGCGGGGATGCGCAGGCTGGTCTGGATCCATGCTGGTCGCAAACGCACTCTGATGGTTTTGTCGTGACGCGGCTCATATCTTTGTAAAAAATAGCGCAGGAACTGAAGACATTGGTCAGACAATGAATAAGATACAGGACAAATAATCTAGAAACAAGACATTAGCATATCTGATGATACGTACAATTAAGATATATAAAGATGTTCAAATGTATGTGCAAAATTTAGAATATCTTATGTTATGTACAGTTAAAATGTACATGTATTAAGATGTTCAAAACTATGTGTAAAATTTAGCATATCTAATGTTATGTACAATTCATAAAGAAAATTGTGTATGTATATTTTTGCATGGGTCGGAGACTTTAAAGCGAATAAAATCTTTGTCATTGTCAGTATCGCAATAGAATAACACTTTGACATGTAACCTGCTGAAATCATTGAATTTGGAGCAGTCTCTTAAATGACAAAGGAATTTCAAACAAAATAAAAAAACATCTGGGCTACTTAAAGTATAGAGCCTTGTCAGAGTAAAACAGATGTGTAGGCTGGATGGCTTTCTACTGGTGGCAATTAAAAGCTTATCACTTCTGGTTCCTGCTGGTTGATGCTAAAATGGTGTTGAGCTATGACATGCAATTTATGTTTAAGACTATTATGATGGTTGGTTGTGGTAAAAAAAATTTATGGTAATAAAAAGTCGAAAAAGGGACATAATTCTGTCATAATGCTTGATACAGTTACCTCCTCCTGCCTACAGGTTGGGGTCATGATGGTGAACAAGTGTGCAAAGTTTGAAAGCCATAATATGTCAATCAATGGACTTTGAAAATATTTGAGGTATGACAAAACTTTAACTTAAGTGGTTACGCCGACGCAGACACACTCGGGTGATTACAATAGCTCTACTTATTCTTATCAAATAGTAGAGCTAAAAATGAAGTAAATTTTAAGGGCAATAACCAAGGCATGTGCGCGGACAGCATGCTCCATTTTTCTCAGTATTGTAATGTAGAACAAGAGGCATAACAATGCAAGAAAACAATTTCAGGATTATCTACCCTTTTGAAATGGTGTCCATTGATGACAAAAAACATGTATACCACGTTTGAAGTAAATAGCTTTTATAGTTTCTGAAAAGATGAACCTTAATGAAAAGGTTAAATAATACGCCAAGGCAATGCCAACAAGAGGCTCATAACAATAGCTCCACTTTTTTCTTCCAAAGTGTGGCTAATAATATAGCATGACATAATATATATAAGTGCACACACCATATATTTTATTTCAAATAACAATGTTAATGACCATACTCTCAATGCACCTTCCGATACAATAACCTGTGGCATGTATAAAAATAAATCAAAGTGATAAGTGGGCACGAAAATGGAAATAAACATTTCAAGCCAAGTATGATCAATGATTGCAAAAAATAACTGAATCTGTGAGAAACCATTCTGTGAAATGCAACTATTGTTGATGAAAATGCAGTGTAGTGTTTGTTTTTGTAGGCCGAAATTCACGACCTGAAATCATTTTTTGTACAAATTTATTGGCAGATACAGACACAATTAAAGCAAGCTACTTTTATTCTTTTAATACAATCACCTTTCCTTTTTACCAACCCCTTTGGCCTATGCCAACACAACATTATGGGGAATCCTCTGAGATTTTGACAAGATGGGACCAAACAATTTTTTTTTTTTAATTATGAATCAATTGATGAATGTCTGGACTTTTAACTTATGTGCAAAATTTCAGATAATTTGCTCACTCTATTTTTCCAGAATGATTATAATTATTGAGCAAAATGACGCATAATTGAAAAAATGTTTGAAGACTAACTTTTTTACTAAAATCAGACTAAGAATCGCAAGAAAAAAAATATTGACACAGTCATCTTCATAACCTTTTGCATATATTTCTATTTCAAGTGCACCAGTTAGTCTATTGAAGATTTTTTTTCTATCTTTTAATGCATAATAGGATCTCAGATCTTTTAATTTTAGACAGACTGTTAATGCAGCATCACTTTAAGAACATAAATCAATAACCTCTCTATCTTTCTACAGAATTTATATAAGGAATTACCTACAGCTTTATCTTACTTAACCAAGGAAAAAACCTATAAAGGATTTATTTCTTCTAACTAGGTCTGCTGACCTAAAAGAGATTTATATGAAGTTACGTTGATTAAAGGCATGTGAACTAGTGAATATCATTCAATAACTGTGTAATTAAAGGCTTTTCACTTTAACCACTAAGCCACCGCTCCCCTTAATGTAAGGTGTCTTGGGTGCAGAGCAAGTATATTTGCTGTAAGGTTACATGAAATTTTGTATTTTTCATATAAAATTTGTGTCTGAAATTTGTACAATAAACTTTTTCAGGTCACATGATTCCAAGCACTGTTCGTTCATTGGTGAAAATTTGTTGTTGTTGTTGTCGGTAATCTTACCCATTGGTGACACATACATTCTGTCAACTTGTAAAAATACAAAAAAATAACAATATAAACCATAATCAATTTTTATGAAATATTCTTAAAAGTTATTTAAAGTCATAACCATATTACATTGTAGTTTTATCAATAAATTTTAATAATTTTATCTGTTTAATTAAACTGCTTTTCAAACTGCTCTACTATAAATTGACCCTAACCCCCCACATCCAACCCTACCTCCTGCCCCATACCAAGACTGCTTGCATAAAACATAGTACCCAAGTTAGTACCACAAGAACATGGCTTGCAACATTTATGCAATAAATATACTCTGGAACGCTTCAGAAGTGGGGTTTTGCCCACCTAATCTTGGGGTACAAACAAAGTTTTTCAGTTATAGCTTGCTAAATGTATCAATGATGGTAGTGCACCATGAAGCTTAATAATGGAAAATATTTGTTTGTACCCCATGATTTCATGGGAAAAAACCCACATCTGCTGAGTTCCTTAAAGCAGATTGTAATCTGTATAATAAAAGTTCCATCAATAGAGTACATTTCAATCATGTACTATATAATGAAAGTTCCCTGATAGAATAGATTTCAATTGTGTACTGTATTATAAAACTTCCTTAAATAGATTACATTTCAATCATGTACTGTTTAATAAAACTTCCCTTGATAGAGTACATTTCAAATATGTACTGTATAATAAAAGTTCCCTCAATAGAATACATTTCAATCACATACTGTAAAATAAAAGTTCCCTCAACAGAATACACCTTTCAATCACTTACTGTAATCGACAGAATACATTTCAATCATGTACTGTATGATAAAAGTTCCCTCGGTAGAGTACATTTCAATCATTTACTGTATCTCAATAGAATACATTTCAACCTTGTACTACATGTATAATAAAAAGTACCCTTGCTAGAATACATTTCAATCATGTACTGTCACAACATTATTAAGTCATTCAAAATTCTAAATCATATATATTAACCATGTACATGTATTAAATCTACTCCAATGCATCAGTTATGACCTCTGACTCACAAACTGTTTTATAATACAACAATTTGTAATATATGGTAATCAGAGCAGCATGTTCATGTATATATTTTTGTACATGAACATGAATAACTAGTTTCTATTGTTTGAGAACATTTAGTATGAAAACAATTGGCACAGAAAGTTATTTTTCTAGTGCAAAGTGAATAACTTATCTAAATAAGTCATTATCTCATTACATAATGTTATAATTATATAAAACACAGCACTAGATGTCTAAAATACATAAGCTACTAACTGAAACATCATTTATAATTGTCAACAATCTTCTGAAAAATTAAAAACTCAAATAACAATAATCAAAAAATCATATCAGCACATTAAAATGTCAATTAAAGCACTATAAAGAATATATTTTTGTTTTTGTAGACATACGTGTTCAACTTGAAACAACTGATTTTTTCTGGGAAAAAAATAATGAACAAAAATATACAAAATTTACTGATAATTATATACAGGTTTTAAACCAATAGTCCTATTCTATTAAATCTATGCCTATCTATAAATATCAAGCATTTTCTACCAGAGTTACCTACCCTGTTAGCCAGGATTTCCTGCCAATAGAAAATGATCCACTTGAAATATTGATACTTTGTTACTTCTTATAGTATAAGAATTTTAGCATTGGTCTGATTAAAATATGAAATACCGTCACAGTATTTTAAATTTCTGTGATTAAAGGGATATTCAGGCAAAATAATGACAAAAATATTAAAATGATCTTATGTACTCAAATCACACTAAAATGACTTTTCTTGAAGTTTCAGCATGAATTTCTGCTTAAATTCTATATAGTTTGGATGGAAGCGTAAATATATCTATATATGTTGAACAAAATTTAGACGCCAATAGAATCACCAAATAGTTTTAAAACAAGTCAGATGACTTTAACAAACCCTTGAAGTTACAATAACAGATATTGTGGATATTGTATGGTTGAAACAAGTCTAAGTCATTCATTTGACATGTTCTTTAACCTTTCCAGAGTTCACTTTGACAACTATTGTGAAATCCTAGCGCTCTAACCTGACCCACGCGGGTCAAGTTAGGAAACCATCATTTTATTCTTTATATGGAGGAAAGGTTTGTTTCTTTGACTGTCTAATATATTTATTTTGAGGGCATTTACAGAATAATGAATGAAAAATTCAAAACTAAGAAATCAAAATTTTGCCTGAGTCTCCCTTTAAAGAACAAAGACTAACTTAATGCCTGACCTTTATCAAGGTCATTGTTCTTGACCTAAAAGTGACCTTGAAATTGCATAGCTGACCTTTGCAACAAAGGATTTATTGTCCCAAGTTTACGCATGTACTTTTTATATTATGTCATATACTGAAGAAAGAAAATTGACCTGCAAAGAATTTGACATTTAAATTCACTCTGTTACCATAACAATATAATAAGTGACAGAACAATATTTTTCATAATTACATTTTATCAGCTGATTATGAACTGGACAAGAATTGATGTGTGTTCTTTCAGTTTAATAGTACATTAATGTTTCTTCTAACACTCCTCATGACTTTGTCACTATACACAATAAGGTGTTTAACTGCCAATAAACACTGGTTAAGGACTACATGTAAATGTGGATCTCGATAAAATTGTTTACAAAGCCTTTTTCAGACAACAATAATAACGCATTATTGTTGATATTGTCCATTCTTATTATGTTCTTTATATGATGCTAAAATAATATCTCACATACACTAATGCCACAGGTTTGATCCATATCAGTTGATAAAATCTATATAAGACCAATCGGCACCAATTCATAAGCAGCATAATGATGTCATCCTAAGTAGGCAACTCATTCATAAAGGCGCCAGAATGACATCATTTTCAACTGCCATGGGTGGGGTTTGTAGAATGATTAATCTACATATGTAGCACTGATGTTACAAAAACAATACAATCAAGTGTGACACGTAAGTTTAAACTGTTGAAATTTTGATATAAAAAGTGAAACATTTTTTGTTATTTTTTTTTTGTTTTTGTTAAATAGTTTTTATTACCTTAGCCTTAGCGACAGTAGGTGAGAAATAGAACAGTGTTATATGAAAAAAGCAACTTGAAAAATTGGCGTCAGTGAAAAATACTTTATTTTAACTTGTTACAATCGAAATAAAATCTGTCTGAGCAGTGTTTATCGGCTATTTAACACTGGTTTTTTTTTGTTTTGATACAAAATAATTAACCACTTATTCAATCCCTACGCATCAAAACTCCAAACCCGTGTTAAATCGCCGATAAGCTCTGCTGGAACCTGAATATAATTTCTTAATTTATTTACATGTTTATCAAAAATAACAACACATGAATCAAATGGTAAAAATGGAACCCCAAAAAAACCACCAAACAAAAAGACCTAATCCTACAAGTAATGAACATATGCAAGGTAAAAGCTTTCCACATGCAGCATACATTATGCACAAAACATACAAGTCTCTAAACCTACAGTAACATAACAATTAATTATGTACATAATTACATATATAAACATACTAAAAAATTAATATACAACTCTAAGTTAATTGAAAAATGTAGCAATTTAATACACAACATAAGATTAAATATCCCAATGTATCGACAATAGCAATATACAATGTACACTATATTATACCAATTGCTTCATACAATAATTACATGTACCAATAAGCATTACCAGTACATTATTTTATACCAATTAATTAATATACAACTCTACCTTAATTGATCAATATAGCACTACACAATATAAGTTAATGTACAAATACTTTACCAGTACATTACAATATTATACCACTTCATTACATTAATTTACCAATGCATCAATATACCAATGCATTGATATACCAATATGACATATAATGTACCAGTATATAAAAATATACCAATATATCAGTAAATCAAAATACAAATACATAAATTTACCAATGCATCAAAATATCAATGCATTATTATAATTACCAATACATGTACATTAATATAATTACATGTATACCATTACATGAGACTATTTACCAATATATTTGAAACACCATTTGATTTAATGATAAAAATATATAAGAAATTGAAAATACGTAAACAATATCACATTAAGTAATAACAACTATATAGACAAAAATTATAGAGACAATTTCTCTATTTCCTTTTCAATTCAGGTTATATAATACATGGTCAAACAATCTTAGACAAATCTGACAAAAATACTGTAGGTAGACTGCCTATTTTTTCCTTTCAACTGTTTCATTCCATATTGATATATATAAAACCAATAATTAGATTTTCTATAAAGAAAAAAAAACACTATATTTATTAGAAATGGTATCTAATTCAATTCTAGGAAGATATTGACATTTCTGTCAAAAGAAAGCATCAATTTGCAGTAGAAAATCTTGCATGAACCCCTACTGTCTAGACATAAAATTTCTTATATTTCAGGAATAATTCATGCATTACTTTAGATGATTGTATATAAATGTTTACGAGAATGTATGACTTATGTTAACTGTTCTATGGCAATGATTAATGCCATATCTTAAGACAAGAAATCAGATTTCAGACATCAGATTCTGTCTTTCATCTTACCCAAATCTCATTATGAATATTTATTATTATATTTTTGCTGACTCAACAAAATTTTGTGATTTGTGTTCATTATTAGTTATAAAGATTTCAGACAGGTTATAAATTATGGCCCTTTATAATACTGCACGTTTGTAACGTCACTTTCATTGGATAATCATGATGTTTATATAGTTTTATATATACAGCTGCTGTCAATAATATAAAGTAATTTCACCTTTATCTCAAAATAAGAAGTTTGCTGTGTTATAAATTCGTTATAAATATTCCTGACAGGTTATATGACAGTATTTAAATGGTTGTTTGCAAAACAATCGCTCATACAGGGCCATATAACCTGTCAAATCCTTTATTGGCGTTCTTATGGAATGAGATCAGATTTTGTGAAAGGGCGACAGCAACTTCTCGAGCCTTTTAGTCGGTCATAATAAAAGCCGAAAATTCCGATCGGTATGAGGGTGCTTGATTATTAAATAAGAATGAAATGTCGCGATATGTTACAATGAATTTTCGCAATGCAAACATTTACAAATGAAATAACCTTTTCCGTCAATAAATCGCGCTCTTCGGGGTTTTTTATTTCTCATTTTGTAGTACACAGTCGGTTATCATGTCATGGTATGTTATTGTTGTACATGTATCCTAGAATGATCAGTTGATGACCTAAATATTCCAAAAACCTATTTATAGATATATCTATTTATCACTCCTATCGGTAAATGCCGGTCTCTCCCGGTCTATTTTGACCAGGATTTACTAGTGACCGGCGAATAGTACCATACGTTTATTGTCCGGTCTCTCCCGGTTTTGGAGTAGATGTTTGATATCGTTACAATTAGAAAAAAAACAACAATAGCATGTTTCATTTTATCTATATGAGATAAAAACAATAAATATGTACACGGATTTATATGTAATATAAATTCGTGATATGTACAATAATTGAGAAAAAGGTACATTTTTTATGGTATTAAAATGACATTATCAACTTTGAAACATTTTATTTAATTATTCAATTTGTTATCCGTGTTTAGTAAAGATGCCGAGGAATTATTCAAAGTTACAAATTAGATTTTATGAATTATTCAATTGATCGATAATTTAAAAAATGATAAAGAAAAATACAATGTACATGTACATGGTTTAAGAATAAACAATATTATATATTGAAAGATAAACCATAATTTACTGACTTTTTCCAGTTAAGCTTTGACTTATAATCGTCGGTCAATATGACAATTGAATTCTTAAAATTTATTTTACAATTTTAATAAAAAAGAGTAGTAAAAACTCAGTATTAAAATAGCACATAAAACACAAAAAAGAATAAAAGAAAACAATATTCATAAAATTTGTATTTTTTTTTAATTAAAATTAATAGATATTACAATTATTGTATAATAAACAATTATGCTCAACATGATCAACATGGTAATATAACCAGTGTCATATTTTTACTAACTTAAACGTGTTGATCATGCGTTACACATATGGATTATAAATGATTGCATACATGTATATCCGTTGCTATTAATAACCACGATCATAAAGAAATAACAATCGCCTCGGTCAATATTAATTTTTTCAGTACATATCACATCATATTCAACAGCTAAAAAGTCCATATTTGTATAATATTCTAATCTCTAGCATGCTAATCAAAGTTCATAATGAACAATGTCTTTCGTCCGCTCATTCATAAGTGGTATACATTTCTGGTAGTTTATAAGAATATCTTGTCATCATATGTGTACTAGTTCATCTTCACTTGCTGCATTTCTTGCTTGGACGCCCTTTGATGCTTTGCATCAATGCTTTTCTTGTATAACTAATGTTATAAACAGTTATTTGTATAATATGGCTTTGGTTATATTGCAAATAACCATTTATATATGGAAATACATGTATAACCAGTCAAGAAACTTTATAACAGATATATAATACTTCAAACTTCCTTTACTAAAGAAAGAAATGAAATCACTTCATAAATCCACTACAGCAATTTATATAAAATTATATAGACATCATGTTTATCCAATGAAAAGTGACGTAACAAAGATGCATTTTTATAATATAAAAATATTTTTTTACTTTTTGACACATTTTCAAAATTTTCATGAAAATTAGTTTGAATGTGGAGACATGCTGCTTTAAAGAATGTCCAAAATGGGAAAATTGAAAATGTTGTAGGCTTGGCTTGCCACAGACTGCTCATGGACAATAGTAGTAAATTAATTCAAATTAAATATTGTTTCCAGAGCTTTTAAATAAAACACAGCTTTTAGATTCTCAATATTTTAAAACATTTTGTCATTCAGAGCCAGAAAATTATGATTTGTTTGTAATAATTGCAGCTGCAGATTCTAATGATTTTAGCTGGGAACTCACTGCAACTCTCAAACTGTACAAATTCTATACCTGCATAAAATCAATTTCAGGTCTGATCCACTTAAAATAATTGTTCATAAACCTAAACTTGAATATAACAGGAATAATTAGAGGCCTCAATAATAATGTGCAGGAATCATTGATACCAAATGGCCAGAAATATATTACAATGCTGAAGAAGTGTAGTGATTTGCATAAAATAAACCAATATGATTTTTTTTAAGGAGCAATTCATTACTTGGAAAAAAAATTACACATTGATAAATACTCAAAATTTATAGCTTGTGATACATATAACTTTTCATGAGAAATAAATATAAAATATAAAACATGTACATTACATTACTTTGATTGTTTACTGCTGAATTTAAAACTACACTCTAAACACAAGTCTGCTCACTACATCTCAATAACAACTGATCTCTACATTGCAATGTTATCTGCATTACACAATACATTACATTCTCCTATCTTATTACAATAAAAACATGTAAAGTATATATTTTTAAAGGGAAAAGACAATAGCACATAACAATCATGCACAAAATGTAAAGCATTCTTGATGAAATAATGTGTATAATGCTCAAAGGCTCAGGGTCACAAGCAAAACGCTTCAAGATCAAATGTTTTGACCAGCTGATTCTATGGCTTGCATTTTATAAAATTAATTTTTTATCAGATTTTACACAAAAAATACCATTTTTTTCTTAAGTGAAAAAAAAAGCAATCATTATCCATACTATGGTTGTAATGAATATTTTCAATAAAGACCAAGACCTATTGAATAAATTATGGAATTATATCCTTAATAGAGCTTAAAATACAAATTACAGCTTGAATTTACATTAATTATGGCTGAAATTCAAAATTAAAATATAGCTGAAATTTGAAGATCATAAATAAGAAAAACTTTCTTTAATTCTGAGCTCCAAATGTAACCTTCAATTCATTCATGTGAAAAACAAAGCAATAATTTTGAATAAACAACAATTATAAACATTTTTTCTTATATCAAAAATCTATGGTATTTAGTCATTCAGTGGTTTCTTTTACTATCAATCATTCAAGAAACATGTAAGTCATGACCATAGAAAAGTACACTATAATCTTGACATTATGCATTCAAGGCTCAGTGCAACACATTGGAATAAAAGTGACTTGTCTGTTCCATCACAAGAGAGTCTGCACAGTGAGTGACACACCCATGCAGTCTGACCAGACTCATTTCTGATGGCTACATAATTTTACAAGTTGGATTATCTCAAATGCTGGTTTACCTTTAACTTCCTGAATTTCTTAAAATGGACTTGTCAAGCTTCCATTTGATCTATTTTAGAGTATTTCACAGCGGAAATTTCAAGTTAATCTGAGGCAACAGTACCGAGGCTGGCATGAAAGTGCAGTTTGGCCTGACTCTATACTGCAGGGCTGCAACAGCTAATCTCTTGGTTTCAGCAGGTTGAGCAGGACACATTACATATTCAGAGCAGGGCAAATTCCATAATTCAGTGCAGGGCAAATTCCATAATTCAGTGAAGGGCAAATTCCATAATTTTAGAGCAGGGCAAATTCCATGATTCAGAGCAGGGCAAGTCAATAATTCAGAGCAGGGCAAGTCAATAATTCAGAGCAGGGCAAGAGCAGGGCAAGTCCATTATTTAGAGCAGGTTAAGCTCATTATTTAGAGCAGGGCAAGCCCAAGGCCATCATGCAAATTTAGCATTGCAATTAAAGGGTAAAAAATTGTGTTGCAAAGAACTCTTGATCAACATACATCTAGCTAATCTCAATGAAAGCAAGTGCCACTGGAAATTTAATTTTATTATATCAACAACAGGTAATAATATTTCACTAATATATTTTGTTCTGTTGCAAAAAATAAATAAATCTTATATTTTATATTTTTTCCAATAGCATTGTGTGTGTCAAGTATATCTGTTCTCAAACCAGCTAGCATTTTCCAGTGGCATTTTTAGCTTCAATACTTAAAGCACAAAAATAGGTATCACAGCCTAATGGTATCTAAAACTCAGGGAAATTTGCAAGAAAAGCATACTGTTTCAAAGACCTACCCTATTTGCCATTATATCCTGCTAAAATAATGAACAAAACAAAAGTATAAATTAGTATTTCTCTTTTCTTTTACATAACAGCATTTTTTCTGTAAAAAAAAATGAAAAATGAAAATGTAGTTTTTCATAGTTTTCTTAAAACTATAAATTAAAACTAACTACAAATGCCATATAAACATTTCCATTCATTTAAACCATATAATACATGGAACAGCATAAAACAACCCCTGTGATCCTGAAAACGAAACAAGTACTATTAAATTTATCAGAAATAATGATAATAATATACCATCATAATGATGATACAATAATAAAATAATGACGAATCTGATGAAAAATAAAAACAAACAAAAAACATTGTAATAAATACAATGTAATAAAATTATTAATGTAATAATATATTTTTTGTAGAAAACTGAGTTTTTATGATCTAAAAAACTTGTTAATTAGACATATATGAAAACATTTCTCTCATTTCTCGCAAAGAATTGATACTTGCCATTGTTTGGAGACAAAATTATTAGGTTCTAAGTGTAAAGTTGATGTATGAAGCTGAAACATAAATATTTTTGTCTTTTGTGTGGCTTTAGATTATTACCTAGTGTCTAATAGCACTAGAAATTATTAAACTGAGGTCTAGTGTTACTGTATCTGGTATTGGAATATTGTAACATATCTTACCATAAAATGATATAAATTGGTATTACTGGCAGACTGAAATATCTTTGTATATAATTTACATTGACAGTAAATATTGCATGAAAATCATTGTTTTATTTTTTTTTTGGATGCTGCCAGTGGAAAAACCCTCCCTTCTGGGGGCTTCTGCAGTTATAAACATGTAAATGCATGCAAAAGCTTAAGCCCTATCCTCTAATTAAAGTAATATGTTTGATTAAGTAATTTCAAGTTTTGTATAAAGAAATCAGGGTATAAAAATGTTTTTAATGCAAGAGTATGTGATGTCATTTGGGGGAATTGTTTTGATTATGAAATTACCAGGGCTATCATTAGGTCATGTCGCAGACGGATGTTTTCATGGCTCCCTGAATCATGCATATTAGAAATTGTGCAAAAATGAAGCGTACTTCTTTGCATAATATTTTGACCTCTCTTTGCCAGCTTACATAGATCGCAAGTGCATTTTGCTTTTCTTTTCAATACATTTAAAAAAAATTTCATAAACATGAGTGCAAAAAAGTCATTATAGTGTTATTCAGTACACAATATTATTTGCATGCTTTCAACATGTCTAGCACAAAAAAACACTATGTAATTATCTAGATTCTTATTGGCCTGTTTACAATTCACCTAAAAAAAATCATTGGAAAAAAAGAAGACGTCACAACAACAAAAAATGCTTTAAGACCCTAAATAAATAATTCAATGTTTCTGTTCTGTATAGGATCAGTTACAGACATGCATGGCAGACGGTAAAGTTACAGAGTTTAATGCCTTTTATGTCTGCAAGTTCTACCTTTTGTTACTAAAGGATGATCTCCATTTTCATTATCATTAAGTCTTTCATCATGCATAATTCAATTAAGGATAATTGTGAAAATAAAAGTCTTACATGTAATATTAATTAATCACTCAACACCCAATTAGTTTGGCTGATTCTTACTGAATGAATTTTCAATAACAGAATACTAGCTGTGGCTGAGCATGATTGAAGAAAAGGATTGACTGGTTCCATTGTACATGACATACTAAGTAAAATGTTGTTAAGTAACCAAATTATGTAATTAATTTTGTAGCAGACAGTCTTGGTCTTTAATTTAAATCTGCTGATAATTATGCAATGGATTTTGCCTAAGCTTTAAATTTAGAACAGTCTTAATTTTCTAAAATTCAGGCACAGACTGAACCTGGCTCTATACTGTCAAAAGCTAATCCTTTAGTTCCATAGAAAGTCCTTTAAGTCTGAAATCAGTCTTAAGGCCAAAATTAAGACAATTTTGCATTTCAAAGAAAATGTCCTAACTTATGACCTTATTACTATGATTCTTTTTAATTCTGAATAGCAATGCTGATGGATATCTACACATTGCCAATAAAAGGACCTGTCATTGTATTTCTTAACTTTTCTCCGGAGAACGCATTATATTTCAAAGTCCACAGAATTTGTCCTAAGAATAAGGATACTCTTAGGATTTTCCATTAAACACAGCCCAGAATGTTAAGGGCTAACAACTTACAAATGCATGACAAAACTAGCCTTAAACTATTTTAAAATTGACATGTTCAATTCTTAATGAAATTCAATTTTAAAGCTCTTAAAATAAATAAAAATACTTCTGAAATGTGCCTATTGTTAACTATATATATTTATCTTCAACATTTTAAGGGCAATTTATTTTTTTATTTTTTGATATAAATGAAAACTTTAACTTATTTTGACGTTGCCCATGTTAAGGGTCATTTTCTAATGCCAGCGCTGACAATTATAATATTTGCACTAAAATTAATACTAGCTTTGATAAGGTCAGTGTTCAAATAATTATAGCATACTTAATGATTTATAATGACAAAAATATCGTATTAAATCTTACAGCCTAAGCAAGCCATTTCATAACTTTGGGATGGTCTATGGAAGTCCACATGTGTATTCTTTTTTTGAAACAGCAGTTACATTAATAAACCAAAATAGAAACATTATATTGAAACTAATATTTAGGAATCATTATTATGTATAATTGTTAAGGTCCTTTAGATTGACATTTCTTTGTTAACATTATCTTTGTTCTTTTCATCATTTTGAATAGAATGAAAATTGATATCAATCTAAATTTGAAGAATATAAATTTTATATGCATAAGGACAATGCACTTTGGTTTACTTTATAGTTTTAAATTTGACTGTGTTTTGGTAAATTGTAAAATTTGACATGATTTACTATGTCAAGATTAACCTGTCTGTGACATGGTTTATTTTGTTTTTTGTCTTTTTTTGAACAGTTTTAGTTCAAATAGATAGGCTTCTATTATGGAAGTTAATATAGCACAGATGTTTTTAATAAGGTTTTATTGGGACATTAAAAGGTATATTTTTTTTAAACATGATATATGACAAAACAAAAGCTTGATTTGATTTATCAACAACAAAAAACTGACCCACTGACAGTATAGAGCCAGGTCAGACTGCACAGATGTGACACAAGGCTAAATCTGCAGGGCACGGGTAACAACTTTTTCTTGAAATATCATCTGAACTGCAAACAAAATTCAAGTTTCACCAACTTTCAAAGATTAAAGAAATTTACCTTTAGACGAAAATGTATTCACTGCACAAAGAGAGCATTGAAATCTGAAACTTTAAACATTACATAACATTCACGATTATTGATTTATTGATAAGGTTATGTTAAAGCCTGTTATAATTAGAGCTGCCAGGCAGCATACAGCTCCAATTATCTTTTTTTTTATCTATAATTCTGTCACAATGTTTTAAGAGAGTGACATAGACAGCTTTGTACTATATTTTAACCCTCCCATTTTTTAACCCAGGTTTTATTTTTGTATGATGAACCTTTTTCTGCTTTCAATTTAGAACATCAGTTTGAGGTAAGAAAATAGCTGCCAACAGTATAGAAGCCAGAGTCAGATTGCCTGTAAGCTAGGGCAATCACAGATGGCATTGTTGTTTATGGCAACTGAATCTTCCCTAAATTGCTTATAATTATCTATGCGAACAATAATTTGATGGATAATTTTTTAGGCAGATAATAAAGTGGCTGATAATTTTTTAGGCAGATAATAATTTGGCTGATAATTTTTTAGACAGGTAATAATTTAGGCTGATAATTATTTGACTGATAATTATTTTTAGGTAGATAATCATTTAGACAGGTAATAATTTGGCACATGAATATTTAGGCTGATAATTTAGCTGATAATTATTTAGGCAGATAATAAATTGGTTGATAATAATTTAGGCTGATAATTATTTGACTGATTATTATTTTAGACAGATAATTATTTGGTTGATAATAATTTAGGCAGATAATTATTTAGGCGGGTAATAATTTAGCTAATAATAATTTTGGCAGATAAGAGTTTACCAAGATAACAATTTAAGCAAATATTCATTTAAGTAGATCATAAATAACTTAGGAAGATAATTATTTTAGGCAAAAAATTTCTTTATTTTATTATGTGGATAGTGATTTAGAAAACAATTAAGGTTAATAACTAAAATTTTGGCAAAAAATAATTAAGGTAATGAAAATATGGGATAAAAGATAAGGCGGATCATGATAAATATGGACTATAATTTTGATTTCAGATGCCATCTTGTTTAGATATTTCTTAACTCTAGAATATTGAACCTATGTCCTCAGTATGACCTATAGTGCATTTTAAATCCCATTCATATCTTAAGGTTGACTTATATCATAAAAAGATTTAAAACATTAATAATTCAAAAAATAATTTATGCTAAAGGAAAAAGCATGCGAAATTTTAATCTCATCAAAACACACTCCTGTTGCCAAAATAAGTTGCACTTTTTATTATAAAGATATTAATATATTAAATAAAATATATTTCTGATATGAACCGCATTTTCTTAAGCTTATTCAAATGGGGAAAAAAAAACAACTCAATAAAGATGCAGATTCTATATACTCCTATTCAATAAGATATGCATTTGAACTGATACCCCCCAAAAATTCAAATTATGTAATCAGTTGTGAAGGATAATTTCTAATGCATATTGAAACTGTAACATCCTAATAACTTACAGCCAATAAAGTCAATCTTCCATATATGCTATTTCGGTTATTTAATTTGCTGTAAAAGATTTATTACGTCGGCAATTGCACAATTTCCAATCCGCCATCCCGCCTTTATATTCTTATCAACCATTTTTTTGTAAACATAGCTAAATATTTATTTTATTTTATTTATTTTTTGAGCGTATTGATACTTTTTACGTATTCTCAGATTAAGAATTTACAACAGAAGAGTTACAAGAAAAAGTTATATAATTATTTATATATATTTTTGTGTGAGCCTTATAATGAAGTTAGTGTTATAACAGGGGTTGGCTTAAACAGGTAGGCGTCAAATGCATACTGCAATATCAACACACTTTTACAAAAATCTGGAAACAAAGTGATCCCTCGTAAGCATTATAATCACAACAAAATTACATAAGAATTGCAGACTCGGTTTGATTGAGGCTGTACATGAGGGATGATGAATAAGTGCAACATCCCTCAATGCTATGTATCCTGATGTTCTATCAAACTTAATGTAGCAATTTAAATGGCGGTCATGTGATTATAGCTTTTTCTAAGAAATGTTCTTGCACTAAAATAACCCATCCTTGACAAAAGTGTGTCAACTCAACTGTCAACTTATATTCTGACAGGATAACTTGACACAGCTAATAGATACTTGTATAGAAGATGTACTATCTTCAACCAGTTATCTGTATTACTGAGAAAATATGCCACGAGACATTAGGCACTGAGAATTTAATGAACCTGAAGGTAATAACACCTAATACTCTTAATGTCCATTTAATTAAGCAAGCACTGGCTAAAAAAACAATCTTTAATTGATAATATAACACACAAAATTCTTGGTAAAATAAGTAAGAAAAAAATTAAACCTTTTATTGTATCTTTTAACATTCATTAAATGAAATTTTATTTTCATATTAGCTTATTTATTAAAATTTGTATGCATGTTATAATTTGTTTGCATGTTTACCATTTGTTTCCATGCTACCATTTGTTTCCATGTTGCAATTTGTTTACATTACAATTTGTTTACTTGGTATAATTTGTTTACATGTTACCATTCGTTTATATGTTACCATTTGTTTTACATGTTACAATTTTTTTACATGTTACTACAATTTATTTACATGTTACCATTTTGTTTTTACATGTTACAATTTGTTTACATGTTACCATTCGTTTATATGTTACCATTTGTTTTACATGTTACAATTTTTTTACATGTTACTACAATTTATTTGCATGTTACCATTTTGTTTTTACATGTTACAATTTGTTTACATGTTACTATTTGTTTTACAAGTTACAATTTGTTTACATGTTACCATTCATTTATATGTTACCATTCGTTTATGATGTTACCATTTGTTTTACATGTTACAATTTGTTAACATGTACCATTTGTTTTAGGAGTTATAATTTTTTAAATGTTACAATTTTTTGACATGTTACTACAATATATTTACACATTATGCTTTTTATGTACCTGGTAATAGTGATATTAAGTATAGTTGTTTTAAATATAGCATACAATGCAATCACTATAATTAATTGAGTATAATTAATAATGAATTTTAAAGAGCCTAATATGGCATAAAGAAAAAAATAATGACTAACTTTATGCTTCTACAGATTGTAAATTCTATTATAGTTTATTGACAGCTTTTGTACAACTGTTACAATAACAAAGTATAAAGACTGGAACCTCTAGCTATTTGAGCAACATAAAAAAACAACATTTTCCAACATCAGAATTAACTGGAAAATACATAATACTAAAGATAAATAAGGTTACAGGCATAAAGAAAATGCTTCTTTACTGACAAGCTTCATCAGGTGACATTGATTAGCGATAGAAATTGTAAATCTAAGTAAATTAATGAAAGATTTGCCGCGAAATCAACGTGAGTTTGTTGCGAGTTTGTTAAGTACGCAATCAATAAAAACATCTCTGACATCAGAGGCTTGAAAACTACCAATGTTAAATCAATTGCAAATAAAAGCGTGCATGGTTACGGCTTAATAAACATATATACACACTCGAGGACCGGTTAAAAAGAAGTCGAATAATGTGGCCATTTTGATTTATTTGTATCGGAAAATGTATTATCTTATGTTACAGAATCTCTTTTACATGAATGATGAAAAAAAAATAAAAAAATAAATAATTAAACTTTACTGAGTCTGAATGGTTGGTTGAACGTTAAATACATGTACAGTTGGTATGAAAACTGTAAATGATAAAGCAAAATAAAATTAATGTACAAATGTATATTACGTTAAATGTAAGGGAGGAAAACAGACCCAAAATATCATACGGTCAAATCCAAGTAAATCGAAACTAGTGGTGTTAGTAAATAGCCTCGTAATAATCATTTTGTCTAGCTTGTGAAAAATTCAATACTGCTTCCATCAATACTTAATAAAAAATTGGATCGATCATTGACGCTTGTAAAACCCCTGAAATAAATTCACATCGATAGAGCGAATGATATATGAAATTAAATTTGAAGGACGGGCGAAAGTTTTATTGTATACTTAACATAAATAGACACATTTCGATTAAATATTTAGACTAACAGTTTTAAATTCAGGAGTGATTGAGAATGGATTCAAATACATTAAGTGTTCAATTGAAAGTGTGAATAGAATTTACAGCTTTTGCGACTAAATATGCCTTCTGAATAAATTCTCTTTACGCCTCATTATTTTCAATGTAAAGAATTTACTTATTTTAAAAAATGAAAACGAAAAATGTACATCAATGTAGGTCTATACCTGCGTCATCTTCAATGTAAAGTTTCTAATACAAATTAAATGCGTCTGCTTCAACTTTCTATTTTTAAATTACGTCACCTAAATATTTGGTACGAGTTCGATAAGAAGTGTCCCCATACTAGGCTTTTCTCTTTCATTAAAGGGACTCAACTGTGTTTTTTTGACATGACTGGACTGGAAATAATTTGTCGAGATAAATGTTCTATTTGATGCATTTGATATTGACTAATGATTTGCATTGCAATGCTTTTAATTTAAATAAGGCAAAGAATTGCTAAAAAATACAATTTTCACTTTGTTCTGAGTATTTCTAAATTTTCTGTTTTTTTCTGTTTTAAAGCCCAGAACTTGTCTATGTAAGAAATTCATATTTGATATTTTTACTACTGCACTAAGGTGACGATATATACAAATAAGTAATTTGACACTGTTGGAAAGAACAATGTTTTCTTAAAATCTGTCTTTTATAGCAATTTATCAGGCTGATATAAATGAGAAATTGCAGACAAAATCAATCTTGTAATTATATATTGCTCTACTTCCTTAAGGTTTGTTTAATTACAATTGCATCATAATTTTGTAAGTTTTGATCCAATTATTGTTTTTAAAACAATCAAAGAAAAAAGAGAATTTACAGATTTATAAATTGAACTCAAAGACATGGAAATGCCAAAAGGAATTGAAAAGAAATATTACAAATACCAAAAAAATGAAAATCCTTCACCCTATAATACATGTCAGAACTAAGACAAATTTTTCAATAAATACTTTGTAGTATGATAAGAATGAGCTCAGAAAAACGGATTTCTAAATTGAACAACACATTGCAAAAATGTAACACCAGTTAGGTTGCGATCAAAATGGCGACCAAAAGCGAATTATTGAGATGCACTCTCTTACCATGTCTACGTCCCCGCGAGGATAGATAGATAGAGCCCTTCAGAATTAAAGAATCATAAGAACACAGTTTTCTACAGTTATAATTACATAAAACATAATTTGAGGGTTGACTGCTAAACTGTTACAAGTGCTTCTTTATTTCATACAAGTTACTGCAGTTTTGCGGTCAACCCTCGCTATACATAATGATGTCATTATCTCTGATGAATGAGAGAACACAGGTAAATGTCCTTTCTACAAGAGAAACATAAATAATATTAATTAAGGTGTTGTTTTGTTCATATTCTCACGCCATTCCTACCTCTATAATGAATTATTATTTATAGCTCATTTGTTACGAAGCTTATTTAAAGTGTATAAAGCTGTACATGTTTATCTGTTGTCTGTAGTCTACAAAGTTTTTGTTTTATTTTTTTGACAGAGAATCATTCAAAAATACCTGTATGATAGAAACATGTTTGAATTTTTACCTAAAAAGCAAATGGAACATGCTCAAAATCATTCAAGAACTATAAAATCCTTGATTCTATCGAGAATCTACCATAAGATTATAGACCAAGACTAGTGTAAGTTTACCATAATTTTTTGTAAAAATACTTCATGAGATACATGTATAGCTTTATACCCTGTAAACCAGCTTCGAGGCTGCGAATCCTGGAATTATAACCAGTTCTGGTGGTACTCAAACTCATTTTCCCATTGTTGAGAGGCTGGCACTTAAACTGTAACAAAGCCAACTTTCAATCACTGAATCATGATTTTAATATTTCAGCATATTAAGATAGTTTTCCATGCACTTGCTGTAAATGAAATATAGATAAATTTGTTGCAATTTAAATACAAATATTTTAATTGCTAATTTTGATAGGCTTTAAACTACTATAATTATATAGCTGTATGGCTATCTTTATGTAACATTTCTAAGAAACACAATATAAATTAACATACACAATAAACATTCCTTTTAAGTTGTTTTTTGAAAAAAAAAAAAAATACATACCTCATTAAGTAAATTGTTATCACTGTGTACTCTGGTTTTCCGACGTAAGATCTTCGTTTTCACAAAGGTTTCCACTTTTGTGTTAAATTTCATGAAAATTACATATGAAAGGTATAGTAAAAACAATGTCAGGGCTTGCCACCAGTAAATTTGTCCAGTCCGAAAAAACACAATTAACACTATAAGATCGATACTGTAGAAGGTAACATCTCGGAACAGGGGCCACCATGTCAGGTGTAATACAGTTTTTGAGACTAATGCACACATTCCTATAACAAAGAGAATATTAAATACAGCAGAACCCACTATTGTTCCTATTCCTACATTGTTCCGTGCAAAAAACACGCCAATCAAACTGGTGAAAAGTTCCGGTGCACTACCACCTGCGGCCATGAAAGTCGCCCCGGCAACGTCTTCTGAGATATTTAAACGTTCGATTACAACACTCAAGGAGGGAACAAAAAATTCATCACAGACAATAGCTAATGCCACGAACATGTATATCAGGCAAATCACATGTAAGATCACTGCGCCGTCTCGCCTCTGTTCGAGAGAAAACGCGTCCGGTGGGTACTGAAATCCAGCATCAGTTGTATTTTCAGACAACAGTCTACGTGAAAAAAACGTCTCTCTCATAACATTCTCTGAATATCTTTTATACAAAGCTGCTGGTAAAATTATTCCGAGGAAGCCTATAATGAATACCGACACTAATATCAACAGACGCCATGACCGGTACCGTCGTCGTAGCAACAAAGGTATCTGACACTTGACTGACATTGTTACAAGTCTTTTTGATGACTCTTTTGCAACAGAATCTTTATTTGTATATAACAATCATTCCCTTCAACGCATCTTTTAACTTTCCTCTTGTCATTTCAAGACAATGCTGATTTTCCACAGCATAACGTATTCTGCCTATTCAATCACATTGTTACTTTAAATAGTTGATATGATGTTTCTATGACTCTGTATCAACTGTATGGTAGGTCTGAAATTAGATAAAAAAAAAATATGTATTCAGGTGGCATAACAATTATAAAATTTATATTTCCAGATAATATTACTAATATCACACAAATATAAATTAAATCTAATCATTTTGTAATTCTAATAACTTAAAGTACATTTTAAATTATATTTTGAAGAGAGGCGAATCGTCACTCATTTTGGGCAAACCATCACTTAAGTGGGGCGAGTCATTATGGGGCGAATTGTCAGTGTGGCGACTCGTTATTAATTCCTTTTTATACATGAAAATTCATCAAAATAAATGGACCTTTAATAAAATTTAAAAACATGTACTACTACATAGACAACAGTGCAGACTATGATCAAACATACAGGTCATCTCCACCTGCTTTGGTTCACCACAAATGCAGAGGTAATTACTTACTTCTCCAAGAGATTTATTATAATTCATTCAAAGTAATAAATATTCTCTTAACATTTATAATATTCTACAAATATTCTGAAAAACAACAAATGAATGAAAAAAAAAATGAAGTCTTCTCTTAAGGTATTTTTTCACACATTTTATTTAAATAGCACACATCACATTTACTATTTTTAAGGAAAAAACAAAATTAAATGACATTAATGCAGAAATTTAAGAAATAGAAATTGTAATGTTGTGAATTAATAATGATTACTACAATAATAATGATAAAATAACAATAAAATTTGATTAAAATCTTTTTATCAAAAAAATAAACTTACAAACTATAATTTTCAAGCAGTCAAAAACTATTAATCTATGTTACAATTTTTTCAATGTTTATATCATTCACAATTAAAAGTAAACCATAGTTTTTTTTTTCTCTCCAATCATTTTAAGTCTGTTTACTTTTCACATCATCTATCTGTAAATGGGAATAGAATTTTCTTAAGGACTTTTCTTCAAGTGTGAATTAATCTATACTCGAAATCCTTGTCTCTTAAAGCTCTCCAAAAATTTTTTTTGTAAAGTTCACGTCAACTTTGCAATTCAAATGTCAACATACGAGCGTAAAAGGCTTTTAAAAAAAATTAATGACATGTGTACGTAAATAGATTTAGACAAATATACATAGGAGTATGGAATGACGTAAATCACTTTTAATGCAAGCCAACTTACTTGTTGTATATATATATCCAGCTACTTTAATAACATACCTATAGTCTAAGTATTATGAATAAATTAGATGAAATCTTAAAAGCTGTCCATCACTAAAAATCTCTTACAAAATGACGTTTCCTTTGACAAACTGTTGAAGAAAAAAATCCAGTCAAATAAATTATATATTTCAGATTGACGAAACTTTTGACACGTTTCTTATAGATCAAACACACAGTTTAAATTATTTCAAAACGTTTTTTCAAAATTTTCTATAAACCATTACACTGCAGTATATTGTAAATCCTATTGGAATTAAATGTGTTCCCAATGTCAAAACACAGTAGATTTAAATACAATCGTTTGTTACATGTATTATAACCTCGGAGTGAGAACCACATTATTGTGCGAAACACAATGTATTGACGTAATATTAAATTCTTTTGTCACAGATTACAGATTAAAACGATCAAACAAAAAGCAGATAATAGAGAAGTTTAAAAACTACTACGGATATATCCTGACAATTGACCCATATCATTAAAATGTTCTGATTTCAAACTTATAACATCGGCTCAAAAATGTTTTTCCTGGGTTTAAAGCTTAAGTGATAGTGGGAAATATTGTTTTCCGAGATTAATGGATACACCTTTCATTTTATTTCTTTTGGGCCATATTCTGACTGTCCAATTGGAAACAGTTTTAAAAAAATGTTAATGAAATTGACTACCGCTGTATAAAAATATATGACCATGAATTAGGCAAAAGAAAATATAATAAAAAATACAATACTAGTAACTATTGAAAAGTCAGAAAAGTTGTGAAATACAGACAAAGATATATAAATTAATGATACACTTAATATGCAAACTGCATGCATAAGCCTTTTCAATTTAAAGCTTATAAAAGCTATTTATAATTTAATATCTAAAACATGATGTTTAAAAACTTATTGTTTGAATTTTTTGAAAAAAGATTTCTTCTAAAATATTTGTGTGAAAGAAATTCATTCATAAGATTCCTTAAGATGCATGAAAACATTGCAAAATGGTTAAATCTTAACCCTACTGAAAATAGCAGCCTGGACTGCGTAAGAAATGCCCTTTTAGAAGCTACAATAATTTTCTTTACAATGGTGGCAATGTTTCCTTTGGTGACCGTCAGTAAAATGCAATAAATTTTGTTTGTTTGGATTTTAGGTCACATCAACACAGTATAGGTCATATCACGACGTTCCAGCTTTACTGGTGGAGGAAGACCTCAGGTGCCCTTCCGTGCATTATTTCAGGCACAAATGGGCACTTGAGTAGAACCACTGACATTCCGTAAAAAATGCAATAAAACTCCATCTCTTGGACTATTTTGTTCCAGAACTTTTTATTCTATTTTCATACAAAATTCATGCAAATTTAAATAAACAGAACAGTCATATCCTATGTTACAACTATTTTGAGAATCTACCACACCATTATGTAAGCAGCATGATTTTAATATTTATGAATTCTATAGAAAATATTTCATAAGATATAGCTGTATACACTTGTACACAATGTACCTTCATATGAAATATTGTAGAATTAATGGTAATAGATTGTGTCATACTAAGGTAACAAAATAATATCAAAAACAACAGGTAAAAATTTGTAAACCACATACTCTTACACTTAATTTTAGCATTTTGAAAATAAGAATAATGGACTGAGCCAAAATCTATACAGGGCAAGTCCATAGAACAAAAATATGGCAGGATTTAGGGAGCTTAAAGATAATTAGAATGGGGATAAATTGATTGTAGATTAAATGGGTTTGTTAAATAAATCTGACAGTATTTAGCATACTTAAAGTACCTGTTGTAAAATCAATTAATGACATTTAAAGTTTGAATCCAAATATAATCAATTGATAAGTGACGAAGGGTGCTAATAGGCTAAGACAAGTCATCCCGAATAAATAAAACATAAATAGTTTGAAAAAATTTAATTTTAGCAATCTACAATGCCAAATATTCCAACCCTTACACTATTAGCAACAAAAAACTGAAAATCGGCAATAAAATACCAAGTAATTAGCAATAAAATACATAGCAACCAGCTACAAAATACCAAAAAAAAACAAAAACAGCAGCAAAATACCTCGCAACCAGCAATAAAATACCCCCCAAAACAGCAAAAAAAATCACCAAAACCAGCAACAAAATACTAAGACCTTCAGTAACAAAATACCAAAATACGGCAACAAATTTTCCAACAAGATTCTACAAACAGCAACAAAATACTGTGAATCAGCAGCAAAATTACATGACTGTGAACCAGCTTCACAATTACAGGACAGTGAATCAGCAGCAAAATTACAAAACAGAGAACCAGCAGCAAAATTACATGACTGTGAATCAGCAGCAAAATTACATGACTGTGAACCAGCTTCACAATTACAGGACAGTGAATCAGCAGCAAAATTACATGACTGTGAACCAGCTACAAAATTACAAGACAGAGAACCAGGAACAAAATTACGCCTATATGACTGAAATACTGTTGGGAAAAAGCATAAAATCAAACAAACAAGACAGTGAACCAGCAGCAAAAAAAAACATGACAGTTAACCTGCAACAAAATTACTTAACTGTGAACCAGGAACAGAATTCTAAGGCTGTGATCCAGCTACAAAATTCCAAGACTGTGAACCAGCTACAAAATTCCAAGACTGTGAATGAGCAACAAAATTCCAAGACAGTGAACCAGCAACAAAATTCCAAGACAGTGATACAGCTACAAATTTCCAAGACAGTGATACAGCTACAAATTTCCAAGACTGTGAACCAGCAACAAAATTACAAGACAGTGAACCAGCAATACAATATTAAATCTGTGAACAAACAACAAAATACCAAAATTTTGAACCATCAATGAAATTCTTTAAACCAACAAAAACATTAAACAATTTTTTTTTGTTGTGTAGAATCCTCTTAACACCCTTGCAACATTTTTTTTTTATAATTCTCAAAGCATATAAAAGAATAATACATAGTCACCTGTCTTCTTATAACTTTTTAAGGACATACCCATTGTTATAATTTGCCACTGGTTTTGGATATTATGTAGATATTTATTTCTGTTGCCATTCATAATGTTGCATTATTGTTTGGCAATATTGACCTAAGACATTTGAATAATTTCATTGACCTTTTTTTCATTCATTATCAGATTTATAAATAATTTAAAGTACAGTGCAAAGGTTGATGTATAACTTAAAATTACCACCACAAGACAATCTTTCAAAGGTTGTAGGTTAAAATAATGATAAAATATTACTTTGCCATACATGTATTTTCTTTTACTTTTTATGTCATTTATTGCAAAATTTGAACACTATGTATTTTGTGCATGTGAATCACTCATTGTATTACACAACACATTATTAATGAAAATTAAAATACCTATCCAAAAATAAATCCCAAAAAAAGGTGATACCTCAACAATGAAATTACATGAAAATTGCAGACCTGGTTTGATTTTTTACATGAAAATTGCAGACTTGGTTTGATTTTCACATGAAAATTGCAGACTCAGTTTGGTTTTTACATGAAAATTGCAGACTCAGTTTGATTTTTACATGAAAATTGCAGACTCAGTTTGATTTTTACATGAAAACTGCAGACTCAGTTTGATTTTTACGGGAAAATTGCAGACTCGGTTTGATTTTTACGTGAAAATTGCAGACTCGGTGTGTTGAGTTTGTTCATGGGAGATAATGGAAAAATTCAACATCCCTCAGGAACCCTAGCACTCGCTTTTACATTATAAAATAATAATAAAAAGTATATAATTAGAATTCATACAATTTAAAAAAAGGACACTAGAAATTAAAAAAATTACATGTATTTATCTACTTTA